TCTAAATGAACAAAACCAAAAGATTTATCTTCAAGAGAACTTTAAAAAAATCCCAGTGCAAAGTCAGTCTGGTTGTATGCGAGGGGGCACATATCCTGAGGTCTCAATACACCAGGATGCTCACATAGAATCCCCCCCCCCCCCCCCTCTGGGGACCGGGTTGCTTTGAACATTTTCACACAATGAAGCTCGTATTGATTTTTGTTTTGAACTAGAGGGAAGAGTTTGAATAGGAAGTGCTAATATTTTAATCCTGCAGTCCCAAGACGGAGGGAGATACTCGGCACAGACGAAAAACACAAACAAACAGGGTTCTTGTTCCTTTCATGCAACACTGAAAAGAATCCCATAGAAACGTTTTTTTTTTGTTTTTTTTTAAACAATGCAGGTGTTACATACGCATTATCCCACCTTTTTGCCCTGCACGGAGCTGGCGGAGTGATTATCTCGCACTACTGCGTCCAAGTCTTAATCGGCTGTTCTCCACTCTGACGCGAGCCGACAAGTGATCAATTCTTCCACTTAGAGAAGTTTAAAGAAAAGTCTGCCCAACAAATCACCGCCTTGCGACCAACCCCAGGCTGATGGGAGGTTTGAGAAAAACATGGCCCCAATATTGATTTTCACATGAAGGGTGAATTATTTCTGCTCTCGTGGAGTCTGAAATCTGATATGAAGTCATCTCGCTCTCTGCGCTGTAATTCATACGAGCAGCCACAAAGCCTTTTCTCACACGGGGAGCGATACCCTTTTGCCACGGGCCACTCGGAACAGGAATGCCTTCTTTTAGATTAGCCTGTCAGGCGCAATGTAATTGACTGGGGAGATTAAAAAGAGAAGATGTCGCCGAACATTATTGATTTGCATGTGAAGAGGGTCACATGCACCGCAGTATATCATCACCTCAGTAGACAGCCTGGGAATAGGATACTTTGTTTTTAACAAAAACCCTCTCGGGACAGGGAACGATTAAAGGGTTGCACACGGATTGTTTTCAGCTACGGCCTATTCCCGTTCTTACAGTAGAGATACACTCACCTCAAATACATTTTTACACGCGTTCTCTTGAGGCTGCTGTTGATGATAAATGGTGCAATCATCGTGCATCCCTCCCTGATGTGTGGTGATTGAATGTCTTAGCGAAAAAGGCAGATTCATAGAAAACGATAATTCCCTAATCGTTTCCTGCTTTTGTGCATGTTCCAGTTGGAAACATCTTGGTGTGACAGCTCGGAGTACTACGCAGCAAAACAGCTAAAGGAAATGCATGATTTTTTTCTTTTGGTATCCTGAAATATTTCAGATTGGATTTTAGCTTTCCGCTGGTCCTGGTGCCTGTTGGCCGACGGCAGAAGACTTTTGGCTGCCCTTTGCATCTCTCGGGTGGGAATTTTGTATAAACGTGGAGCTTGCAGAGCCCAAAAAAAGCAGCCTGTTGAGAGAAGGCTCCCCTGGATAAATGGAGGCTGTGAAGTGCGGGAGAAAGGTCACGCACACCTCAGGGGAGAGAGGAGCAGTGGTTCATTCATATTTTTCTGTATTCTCTAAAGGTCACGGATGTGCGTGGGTCCAGGTTAAAGGTGAACCTGGAATAAACAGTCAGTGTGCAAAGGTGAAAATCAAGACCTTGTTCTCAAGATGTTTCTGCTGCTATGAACGATTAAAATGCTGTGACCTGTGGCTTCACATATCTGCAGCATTCTATTGGATTACTTCCCACCGTCAGAAGACCACTTGGCCCACATCTACGAGAAATAATAAAGGTAAAAAAAAAAAACAGCTACGATCATTCACCTTTTGTTCGCTCCTGCTGGTTTCCCGCAAAAAGTCACGTGGCCGTCACTGGAAAAGGTCACGCTGGTTCTTTTCGTAAGCATCACCGAGGTCTGACGGTACCCGCCTCCTTTTGGATTCTATCCAATCTTGACCCGGCGCGATAACCCCATCCGTCTGCCTCCACCCTGCACGCACATTCCGCTCCCCCGTGAATCATTTCCCTCTTTTTTTCATGGCTGCTGAAACATTTCAAGAACGACAGCAAATGTTTCTTAAGTAGAATGAAGCAAGGAGTGCTCCCATGCCTGCTCATAAAGGTTCATCACCTGGGTGAATAATCAGACAGGAAGTACTGTACATTCTGTTTTAATTGGATTTATTCATAAATATGACCTGGGTATCCCCATTTGGAGAAACTGTGTGACCTGGGTCATTTAAAGATCATTTAAAGAGCCACACAGGACTTAAAGCTCATATTGACGTCACATGACGATGTTTTTTTTTCCCGCGGACTGATATTTATGACCTGAAAGTGTGGACCTATTCTCAGAAAACCTGAGCCGAAGTTGTTGTACTTTAAAGCCGGGGATTTTACATCTCCAAAAGCTCCAAAAACACAGTAATGGATATGAAGGCCGGGTCCTCGGCTAATTAAACCTGTCATCACTTTGTACTTTAAAAACACGGATGGAGAGGGGGAGGCATGGTGCCAGGCGGGGGAGTAAATTAGTTCCAGTGGACTGTTATTTAATAAAGACAGCTAATTGGGTCGGAGATCTTTATCCTCATGAAGCAATACGGAGGATGACGGCAGACCTGCAGCACGAAGGTTCTCTTGAAGGAGTCTAGAGAGGGATTAAGAGAGAGATGAAGAAGAGGACAACGTGACAGTGGCGTGAAGGGGACGGCTCACGTGTGCTTTATTTGGTCTGTGTGGGGTTGAAGTCAGTGTTGATGACGGGTCCAGGCAGTGGGACTCACGAATGAGAGCATCCCGGCGGAGGACGGAGAATCCACGAGCTCATCCGCCATGTCCTTCATCTCAACGCGAAGGCTCATCCTGCCCTCTAGTGGGAAATGCAACGAGCTGCGTTGATATACAAGTCTCAAGCAGCATCCCAGGGGTGCTATCAGCCAACCACGTCATCTGACAGCTGCACATCCATCACGCAGCCCCCAGTGATGTCACATCAGCCAATGGAAACGGTTCGGTTGGGTTTGAAGTAGGGAAGGTGGGGAACCACTTCACGCCGTTGGTCCTGCTGGTGGGATCCCATCACAGGAGGGTTTCTGAAAGGCGCTTTATGTTTACGTCGGTCCTTGTGTGCAGCTGCAACAGACGAGTTTCCCCTCTCCGGGTCGTCAACGATTTATCTGATCTCTTCTTATCGTACATTCTCAATTCAATTACCGAAACACAAGGAAGAAGGAGCTCCTCTTCTACATCACTGACTCGTACAATTAATGAACAAAAGTCAGTGCTCTGTACAACTTCCCTTTCAGAACCAACATGTGTGTGTGTGTTGCTTCACCCTGGGTGGTTTCCCGGTTGTCTTCTTCCGTGTGTTCCACCTGTTCAAAAGAATAGGGCCTTGACAGGTTGGGACGCCATGAGCACACCTGCATGTCACACACACACACACACACGTTTCCTCTGCAATCTTTTAAATAAGCAACTACATGCAGCTTTTCTTCCTGATCGCCCCACTGGAAACACAATTGCAGGTCTCCTTTCACCTTTAAGAAGAGAAGAGGAATAAGTTCAATCTGCCACCGTGTGCAGAAGGCAAAACGCTGGCTTCTCAATATTCTATGTACATTTTAGCACAACGACGCCAACTGATTTCACTGATTCGTAGTGAATGTGAGTGATGTTTGGGTTTTCTTATGAAACTCGGCGGTTACGCTTTTTGGAATTTGCATTTAAATGAAGTTTTCAAAGACGTCGCCACAGTGCTACACATTGCCTTTGAGACACGTGACCTACGGCTGAAAAGAAACTTCAAATATCTACCCTAAATGACAGATTCCTTCCTTTTAAGGGATAGATAGAGAGTACAGTGTTGTGATGGTTCCTCAAAAGGATTTCATACATTTCTTCTTGTCTGTTTGTGTTTTCTTGGCAGCAGTAAATATGAGGCGGAAGGGTTGATTAGCTGGAAGTGCCGAGCGGGGGCGGGGGGGTTGTCGGGGGGGTCCCGGGTGATGGAGGTGGCCAATTAATTTCCTGGATCCTTCCTGGAGAAGAAGAAGGCTTCCTCTGCTGAAATGAGTGATGTGCAGCATTTGGCCCGAGGCTCTGGATGAAACTCCAGTTGTTGTTACGCCAGTTTTAACTGGTCAAGACTGGACTGAGATTCGCCGGTGGACAGCAGATTTTCTGCACAGGGGTAGAGGGTTGATGAGCTCCTAAACAGAAGGTCATGTGTTCAAGCTTCCTGATTGCTGCATCCATCAAAGGTCACATCAAAGGCCCGCTAAAGTTGATTTTGTGCACATAAAAAACCCATAAAAATAATTAGTGTCACTTTCAGCCTTGATTTTCTCATTATTTATGTAAGGTTAATTGCTGATAATCGAAACATTAACTAGGTTTCGGGTTTGGTAGTGTGCTTAATTTTGGGGTTGTTTTTAATATATGAGAAAATCTACCAAACTCAGGCTAATGATGTGAATTAAAATGTTTGTTAGCAAAATATGTGGGCAAATGAAAGTAAACACATAATGTCCAATGATGAGAATATGCTGAGTCTTAAATAGCAATGAAAACAAACATATATTGTGATACAAACAACTGCCATGCACAAAATGACAGGTAGGTTATTCATTTATATTTGTTATTTACAAATTATAATGCACTATCAACTAAAACAACTTCAGCTTTCATAGGAAATATTAGTTTTCCATACATCCTCAACTCCCATGTAATGTTCATGCTTTTTTAATAACAATTTTGAGTACTGAGTAATTGATCTTGTAAGTTAGTATCAATCAAATAAATTCCTTTATTTCTTTTAATTTGATAACGAAAAATATTTTCCTGCACTGCAGATGTTAAATTGTGTGTCAATCACGTTATGGAGGCGGCTTCTTGTATCACAAGAGGCTTCTCATTGGATGAAAGGTTGTACTGGAAACGCCTTCAAAATTGAAGATTGGTCAGGGTGACATGGCAACAAAGTACGTACCGAGTGCAAACTGTTCCCATAAGGCAGCAGCAACCTCTTGAGCCGTTTACCAACTAGTCAACGCAAACAAGCCAGGCAGCGAGTAACGGATTGATGTGTTTATCCGGTCATCTTTCTGCTCCTTTGATATCCCTGCATATCCAGTTTTTTTTCTCATTTACAACCGTTTTATTTCTACTTTGGTAGGCCCACAACAATATAAAGCTGAAGTTTCTTTGCTGAAAGGTAAGGCAGCTTTTTCCCCCTCTTTTGCAAAGCCTGCACCGACTCATCCAAAATGGCTTCTGTTAGCTAGCGAGCTAAAGACACGGACGTCTGACGTTAGCTCGCTACAGCTGGCTAATCGTCTGGCGTTGGCTTCGGAGCCGGCAGATAGCATAGCAGCTTCAGCTGATTTATTACAGTCAAGTGGGAAATGGCGTCGTCACCCAGCTGTTTTAAATAGTATTAGTAGAAAACCAACATGGTGACAGTAGTGTCACGCTTCTGTGTTACTATTCTGAGCTCTCCTCTGAACGTCGATAGTCCCCGTCATGCAAGAACAACCCGACTGGTTGTATTATTAGCTGCAACCCACGACGCCCTGTCCTAGTTTACTGCATGATGGTGCATCGGCTCCTTGTCCCGTTTACGATCTAACGGAATCATACATCTCTGATTTGACAGTTAACGTATTCCGATATTACGCTGACTGCAAAGCTTTATCTTCGCATACGGTTAAACCACAGACTAAAACGCTGCCACCTTGTTTAAAATAACCCGTACGTGGCCAACATCTGACGTGTGAGTTCGCTAACGGATTTAGCGACTCGGCCATGTTAATCGGTGAACGTTAGCATGTAGCATTAGCAGCTTAGCTGACGCACCTCTGCTGTGATGCAGCGGGGACGCGCACTTGTTGTCGTTGTGGCAGGCACGCCTTTTTTTAAATGCACAACTCCCACTGCTAATGTGCTTAATGCGAACAGGGTCGTGCGTGCGTGCGTGCGTGCGTGTGTGTCCCTTCAGGGACATTGATGCTTCGAGTTGTCCTCAGTGGCCTGTGACAAACACCCGGCTACTGAGCTGTTTATCTAAGCCGGCTAATTGACGACCTTTAGATGACGTTGGATAACCTCCCGCGCCCTCTGTTAGTGATCTAGCCTACGGGTGACTAAATGCCCTCCCCTTTCTCTTCCGCAGCACCGTCCCCCCCTCCCCCTCCCCACCCCCTCCTATTATTCTTATTCTTTTGAGTATTCTTCATTGTCAAGCCGCCAAAGTGGAGAGTGTGATTTCAGAAGGGGGTGCTTCTCGTTTCAGGTAATGACAATGACCTTTTTATATCTTTTTTTTTTTAAATTTCTATTCATTCGTGCTTCGTCAATAAGTTCTTGGAACAAAGCAGGATGTGGTAAGGCAGAAAGGGGCAATCAGGAACCTTCTAGATAAGGTGGACGAAGTGAACATAATGATCCTCGGGAGGATTTCTGAATGTTGGTGCCGTCTTTCGTCCTGTCAACAGGATGTCTCCCACCCCGAATCCAGCCTTAAAATGCCTAGATTGAGGCCTAAAATGATCTGGGACACTGTTGGACGCATTCTTCATCCCGGGGGATTCAAGGTTTTACGGTGCACCTTATCATCGGGCACCAGTCGTCTGCGATTTCCAAATGTCATTTAGCAAATTGGTTTATCACGGATATGTTTAAAAAAAAAAAAAAGGAATGCATGGAGGGGAAATAACTTAATATCCAAATAATCCGTCCCAGTCCTCTCTGACGTGCGCTAGTGCCTTCAGGGTTGAGTATTAATAGAGCGTGATATCTGTGATCATGCCGCAGCAGCGGTTAGTCTGGAGCGGCCCGCCCTGCTTCCCCGGTTTTCTCTTTCAAAGCTCACAAACCAGAGTTACTGGTCTTAAAAACACTGTTTATTTAGTTTCTGTGGAGTTGAAATGAAATATGGTTGAGAGATCGTCTGACAAGAGCCCGCTGGCTTTGAGGAGAGCTTATATATATTTTGTGATTTGAATGGTAATAAATGTTTGTTTATTGTATACGAACATCCAATATGCATCGGATGTTATCACAACAAGAAGGGATGAAATGTAGCGTGTGGACCCAGGTGTCATGTTTACATCACTGCTGGTCCGTTAACCCACTAAATAAAAAGTAAAGTTGTAATGTATAAATATTCCAATTAACCTGGTTTGTTATGACGTTGAGATACGCGAACATTCCATGTGGCCCACTTTTTGCGTTTTCTGTTTGTTTACTTCTACAGTGCTTCTTCGGGGGGAGGAGGTGGTAGGGGCGCACCTCAGCACTATCCCAAGACTGTCGGCAACAGGTTCGTCCTCTGGAATCCATTCAGAAAACATTTGATGGTCGTGATTTAAACTTGACGCTTTTCCCCCAATGCAGAAGTAGTGGACGTGTTTTTACCCCTTAAGAGCAGCATTTGTGGTCTGTGCAGTCGCTTTTAGATCATGATTTAAGGTATTAGATTTTATGCTCAAGCCATAACTACGTTGTGAGGGTGGTGTATTTTTGCGTACTGGCCGTGATGTCTCCAGGTCATCCGGTACTTATTGTGCGTCTTTCTCTGTACTTTGTCAGCGAGTTCCTGGGGAGAACCCCAGGGCAAAGCGTTCAGAGATGGGTTCCTTCACGAAGCACTAGACGAGAAGTCAACTCCAGCCTTGAAAAAGAGCAACACGATGGAATCTTCAGGAAAGTGAGGGGGTAAGATTCAAGCCCCCACAAAGGCTCCCCCGTCCTTTATTTTCTGTCCAGATGTACCTGGAAATAGTGAGCAAGAACATTAACGGTTGGTACCAAAACCTTTTCCGTTGCACTGATTCCAGTTCTTGCAGAATTTACAAAACCCAAGTGATAAGGAGTTGGTGTGGTTCGACCCGCTGCATTCCATTCTGGATTTACCAGAATAACTAAAAGTCAGTGAATGTTAGAATAATAATCTTGAGATTCAGATCAGTGTTTGTGACCAAGATCGCAGCGCTTGACCCGAAGGGGACATATCGTGCACAACTCTGCTCACAGTGCTTGTTGCCTTTGGAAAGCGGAACAATCCAAAACTATGAAAACCAAGCTAGTTGTTTTAATTTTATTTTTCATATTGGCTTACTGGATCATTTGATTTCACAAGCGAATCAGATTCAGCACATCGCCCCATGCAACTAAATATATATATGTATATACTGCAAAACGCTTCTTGATATTACCCCGTCCTGCTAACAACTTCTTTTCACCACCTTTTCTTTCTTTCCAGCATACTCAATAAGCTCACGCCTGAGAAGTTTGACAAGCTATGCCTTGAGCTCCTGAATGCGGGCGTAGACTCAAAAGTCGTCCTCAAAGGAATCATCTTGCTGGTAAGGGCACATTTTTACCCACGAGTCCTCTGCTGCACCGAGACGTGTCTCAGACGCCGGCTCCTCCAATGACCCGAGTGCTTCCCTCTCTGCCCTCACGGCTCAGATCGTAGACAAAGCCCTAGAAGAGCCCAAGTATAGCTCGCTCTATGCTCAGCTATGTCTGCGCTTGGCAGAGGACGCACCAAACTTTGATGGCCCTTCATCTGAGATCCAAACATCCCAAAAGCAGAGCACAGTAAGTAATTGTCAGTATTGATGAGTTAGTGAACCCCGTACTCTGACATGCTCAGACATTTAATGATGCGTTTTTGTTCTGTTATTACAGACCTTCAGAAGATTGCTGATTTCCAAACTTCAAGATGAATTTGAAAACCGTGCCAGAAATGTTGAAAGTAAGTTCTTGTCATTTTGTTTCCATTTGGTATCCTTTCAGCTCATTTCCTGTCCACTAAAGCTCTGGTCTTCTCCCCTCCCCTCAGTCTATGACAAACATGACAACCCTCTTACTTCGGAGGAGGAGGAGCAGCGTTCCATCGCCAAGATCAAGATGCTTGGCAACATTAAATTCATCGGGGAACTGGGCAAACTCGACCTCATCCATGAATCTATCCTTCATAAGTGCATCAAAACAGTATGTGCACATTACGGGTTTGAAACGAAAGAAATGCTGCATACCTTCATGTAGTGACCCATGTGCATTGCTTCTCTCCTTCATCCTTTTCTGAAGCTTCTGGAAAAGAAGAAGAGAGTCCAGCTCAAGGATATGGGGGAGGATCTGGAGTGCCTCTGTCAGATAATGAGAACTGTGGGGCCGAGACTCGACCATGCGAAAGCAAAGGTAACAAACAGCTTTTCCAATAATTTAAGTAAAGATGTGTCACGTTTGTACATGATTATGGATATTTCACTGAATAAATAGTATGAAAATGTTGCTCTTTTAAAGTCATGTGTGAGAATGTGTTTGACTCTTTTTAATCAGGGCGGTAGACTGAAACCAGACGTCTTATGTTCTGGTTCAGCTCCTTCCTGCCCATGCAGACTGTCATCTAGCATAAATCCTGCAGCCAGTTCTCACCCTCACTCCTCCCTTCTCTTCCAGTCTTTAATGGATCAGTATTTTGGCCGTATGCGATCCTTAACGAACAACAAGGAGTTGCCCGCCAGGATCCGTTTCCTGCTGCAAGACACCGTGGAACTGCGACTAAACAACTGGGTCCCCCGCAAGGCTTTCATCGACAACGGACCAAAGCTGATCAACCAGATCCGTCAGGATGCAGTGAAAGTGAGTCTGGTGCCGCCGCGGCCCCCTGTCTGTGGCCGTTGATCAATCAACGATTGATAAGGCGTTGAACCGTGCACAGGATGTAGTCCAGTTGTGGACCAGCTGTTCTTCTGTGTCCCTGCAGGATTTGGGTGTTTTCATCCCAGCACCAATGTCTCAGGGGATGAGAATGGACTTCTTCCTGGAAAGCCCCTTCATGCCACACCGAATAAAGCTGGACAGAGAGACACTCGGGGGGTTGGCCGACATGTTTGGGCAGATGCCAGGTACGGGCCTCATTTCATCACGTGTTGTTTTCCTTTTTGCATTTTATGTTTATTTCACATTCAATTGAAACGTGATTGAGGCTTGTGTTGCCAGTAGTGGAATGAATGGAACCAAAGACATTTGAGACATGTACAATTATCTAGGATTTTTTCCGAGCAATTTTCAAAGAGTCTCCCAGTGCAAGATTATGTAATCTTTTATTTTTGATGACTCGTCCTGGTGGTCATTTTATATAAAACCTCTGATCTTCTGCCTGCTCAGGCGGTGGGATCGGAACCGGCCCGGGTGTTATTCAGGACAGGTACTCGCCCACTATGGGACGCCATCGCGCCAACCCACTCTACAACGGCCACGGCAGCCACATCGCCCCTCCCCCGCAGACGCAGTTCGAAGTGGGGACAAAGTCCTTCGTTAAGTCCAACCAGGTGATTTCATGCAGGCGACCACTGGCTGACGTTTCTCTCCAGATGTTTGAGGTCAAAGCTTGTGAATGACCCGCTATGCCTACTGGACTTTCTACAGGTTCAGAACCAGCACTTCCAGAACCACACGGCCCTGCAGCAGGTCCAGTCCAAGGACATGCCCCCCCGATTCAGCACGAAAGGACAGCTCAATGCAGATGAGGTAACTAGAACTAGTTTTTGCTGGCTGGCAGGAGGTGGACAGAAACATAGCAGCTGTTTTAGTGAAGTCTAGGGCTGCAACTAACGATTATTTGGTCAATAATTCAATAAATTCGTTAATTATTTTTTCGATGAATTGGATAATTAAAAAAAAAACTGCATTAAAGGAAGCTTTAATTCCCACCTTTTTATTTTAAGAGAACTGAAGATTGACATTGCAAAACTTAACTTATAGAAAAAAAATACAAATCAGAAAATTTAACAGGATTCGTTTTATCTTCAGAACTTGTTCTCTACACTCCGATGCACATACTCAAACGCTGGCACTCAGACACACGACACAATGTATACACCACATCTACATACAGTGCTATGAGATGATTTTTTTTTTTTTGCTCTGCGCGCATCTCCGCAACTCATTGAGTGACGTAATAATCGCGCGACACAAATAATCGATTTAGTCGATTCGTTGTTGCAGCCCTAGTGAAGGATATAAGCTAAAGCTTATATATATTTTTTTGTGATTGTGTTGTCACACCAACATCAACGGCTGTAGTTTGATGTCCTGCCTGTTGCTGTTTAAGTCTTCATGCCCAGTGATTATAAAAAGACGCGTTATTCTGAGGAACACAACCTGCTACCAGTCTGTCTTCTACCACGCCCTCTGTCTTTGATCTCCATCGCTCTCCTCCTCCTCCCCCCCTCCTCTCTGGTAGCTGGTCCACTGACTGCGATTATGAGATATGAGGGCATGGGTGCAGTTCATGGTCAGACTATTCTCGTTCTTTTAGTCTTTTTTTTGACTGATCCTAATGTGTGCTTTGTATTTGTGACACTTCCTGGTCCCACAGATCAGCCTCCGGCCTGCTCAGTCATTCCTCCTCAACAAGAGCCAGGTGCCCAAGCTCCAGCCCCAGATCCCCACCATGATGCCTGTCAGCGCTCAGCCCCCACGCACTCAATCCCCTCCCCTGGGACAGGTAGCTGGGGATCATTTGGATTTGCACAGACATGGATAAATGCATGGGTAGAATGCAGTTCTGTTTAGAACTGCATTCTTTGCCAAACTGGGTTCCAGCTGCTCCTTAAAAAGGATGGTCAGGAATTGTTTTCTGCTGAATGTTATGTTGTATTATGAATTCTAAACCTATTGAAATAGTGTCCATGTGCCTCTGGCATTAAGGATAAAGGAACCGCTAAGAATCCTGTCCTGCTTCCTGTGGGGATGCTCAGTGCACAGCATGTGTATGTTAAACAACAAAGCAAAACGTTTATTTTCATTAAAAAAAAGTCTTTGAACTAACTAGCCTATAGCTGCAGGAACCACGATCAGATGCTGCCGTTTCTTAGTTGAACTGCATCTTTTAATTGTCACACAACCTTTAACCTCAGCCTCCACAGCTCGGCCTGAAGACCAACCCTCCGCCCATCCAAGAGAAACCTCAGAAGATCAACAAGAAACCGCCTCCTTCCAGGGAGGAACTCCTCAAAATGACGGTATGCAAAACAAACATCTCGTGAAGGTCTGTCTTACTTTTACACTTGCCAATCTGACTGCCTCGTCTCCACTTTCAGGAGACGATCGTGACGGAGTACTTTAACAGTAAGAACCTGACGGAGGCCGTGAGCGGGGCGAGAGAGATGAAGGCACCCAAGCACTTCCTGCCCGAGATGCTGAGCAACATCATTGTGTGCTCCCTGGACCGCCCCGACGAGGACAAGGAGCACGCCAGCAGTCTGATCCATGCGCTCCGAGCCGAGGGCCTCATCACTGGCGAGAACTTCATGCAGGTAGAGACTTGATCGAGCTGAAATGTAACTTTCATAAAGAGGGGGGGGTGGGGGGGGGTGCTGGTTGCCTCCTAACTGACTCTGGCGATCTCCTCTCCCGCAGGCTTTCCTCAACGTCCTGGACCAGTGCCCCAAGATCGAGTTGGACGTTCCGCTGGTGAAGTCCTACCTGGCCCAGTTCGCGGCCCGGGCCGTCATCGCCGAGCTTGTGAGCGTGGCGGAGCTGGCCCACCCGCTGGAGAACGGCACCCACTTCCCCCTCTTCCTGCTCTGCCTGCAGCAGACGGCCAAGCTGAAGGACCGAGAGTGGCTCACCGACGTCTTCCAGCAGAGCAAGGTCAACATGCAGAAGATGCTTCCAGGTACCGCTTCCTGCTGCACTGCTGATCCAGCAGATCTTTACATCTTTAGCCTCTCGGCGTTTCAAAACTTTCAAAATTCTGTTAAACTTTGTGCTTCAATTATGACCCCGCCCCCTCCCGAATGACTGACTTGTTCCTGGCAGAAATCGATCAGAACAGGGACCGCATGCTGGAGATCCTGGAGGGGAAGAGCCTGAGCTTTCTGTTTCCGCTGCTGAAGCTGGAGAAGGAGCTGCTGAAACAGATCAAGGCGGATCCCTTTCCGCAGTCCATCTACAAGTGGATTAAGGACAACATCTCGCCGAAGCTTCACACCGATAAAGGCTTCGTCAACATCCTCATGACCAGGTAGATATGCAGCAGGGCTCACGTTGATGAGCTCCGAGGCTCCGCTAAAGGTGATCAAAATGAACATTGCTTATCAAATAGTCTGTAATTGTAAAAGAAAGTCAACCAGGCAGTTGTTGTGTTTTGTACACAGGACACCGATGAATGGACCTGGTATGTGATGAGAAGGGTCAAATTAACATCTGCTCTTCTCCCAGTTTCCTCCAGTACATCTCCCAGGAGCTCTGCATGACTGAGGGTGACGAGCAGCTGGCGGCCCCCCCCAAAGAGCTGCTGGAGCAGGAGAAACAGCTGCTGCTGGCCTTCAAGCCAGTCATGCAGAAGTTCCTGCACGACCACACCGAGCTGCAGGTCAGCGCCCTCTACGCCCTGCAGGTGCACTGCAACGCCAGCGCCTTCCCTAAAGGTACCCCCCACCTCCCCCACCGCATGATGATATTAAGCAGATAGATTGGTCTCATTATTTGGAGTATAAGAAATGTTGTCATTACATGATCAGTCCACCAGAGAGCGCTGTTATCAGTGACTCAACTAAAGAGGTTTTCTTGGCACTTTTGAAACATTTTTTGGGTTACAAAACAAGGGCTCTATAGCCGGGAGCCTGACGCTCCCTCAAGCCTTATATCTAATCAACTTGAAATTCACCACACATGTCCATCTTTAGACAAATAAGTAAATTAGAGATGTGTAACAAACAATTAGTTGGATCTACTCAAGTACTTGAACAAATAGTATTTCAGAGGCATCTTTGTTGCAAAGACTTTAATCAAACGTTAAAAATGTTATTAAATGCTATTTGTACAACAAAATTAAGTTCCTTTTTTTGTGGATCTATTCATTAAGGCTTTTTAAATAATTCTTTCCACTTAGGCATGCTGCTGCGCTACTTTGTCAACTTCTACGACATGGAGATCATCGAAGAAGAAGCCTTCCTCGCATGGAAAGAAGACATTACCCAAGAATTCCCGGGAAAAGGAAAATCTTTATTCCAGGTACGGTAGTCTTTGTGTTGTAATCTTTTGTGTTGAATATTCTGACCTCCTCGTAACCATCACGTGTGCACGTTTGTTTCGCACAATCCTCTTGACGCACTGTCTCCCTCCGTCAGGTCAACCAGTGGCTCACCTGGCTGGAGACTGCTGAGGAGGAGGAGTCCGAGGAAGAAGCAGACTGAGGAAGCATCGTGGCGTAGAAGAACAACAATGTTGTCTTTCCTTTTTCATTTCGCGCCAATCTTAATTTAACCACTACCACATGGCACTTGGCTGCTTCTGTCGTGCAACTATACCCCAAAAGCTTGTACCTGTAGGGCCTAATGTGTTACCAGCCGTAACCGTGACGATGGGCTGAGAAGCCTCATTTGATCTGTTGCCTGATGGATGTTGGATTTTTATATCGGTGTCCCGATCAGCTACATGAATCCTGGAGTGGCTCAACATGTTTTTTTTCTGTGCATGTTATTCATTTCCTCAAATGCAGATTAGAGACTTCACCTTTGGCGAAGTTCTTTATTTAAAAATGTGGAAGCTTTTCCCCTGTTAATATAGCAGCTTATTGATCCTTTTTGCTGATTCTATGCTCTTTTAGCATAAGGCTATTAACAAGCGGCCTTGTCACTGATCTTTGAGGGTGCAATTGCACTAATTGGTTCATTATTATTATTATTAGTGAAGAGAAAAGGCTTGTTTCTTCCCCTCTAAATCATGGCGCTGTTGAGTTGTAGGAGTCTCGCTCAGCATTTTGGAGTAAAGGTGTGAATAAAATGTATTCACCTCCCTCAGATAAACTACTTTTAAATAAGAAACTACTTTACACAAAAAATGTGCCAACAGGCCATGCTTATGAAGATCATGCTATAACATATTCAAAGTTATTGTGCACCTTCTATTGCTTTAATGTCAATAAAGTCAACTACATGAGCACCAAAACCAGTTTCACTATTTTTACTGCTATTCTTAATATATTCACACTCCTCGTTAAAATGTTTTGCACTCTATAACACACTAAAGGGGACAACAATTGGAGTTTCACTAAATGTTTTTGTTATGCATTTGAAAACACTTCTCTTTACCACATGGAAACATACTGGGTTATTCATTTTACCAGAATGTCCAAAATTGTACAAATTTGTCATTTTGGCTAATAAATCCCAAATTCAGAGCTTTAATAGCCTCAAACCTATTTCATCCATGTTTAGGAGAGTAATGTCTGAGTAGAGAATTAAGTAACAGGAGCGTCAAAATCGGCACTATTTAGGCTGATGAATATAAAATCACTTCAATCCCAAAAGTGGACCAGGGTCTTGTTGGGCCTCAATTGTCCACAACAACAGTTCCATGCAAAGAGATGGTTGACGACTACTCCTCTGAGGGAATCCAGAAGTATTCCACCACCTTCCTGCTCCTGCGTGGGGGGGCGGAGTCCGGGCGCTCTCCTTCGAAGGCGGGCAGCTCGTCAAAGCGACTCGGGCCCATGTGTGGGGCGGAGACCCTGAACGTGGTCCTGAGAAACCAGTGGTTGTACATTTAAAATAGATTCACACTCCCCATCCTGTCAGGCCACTGATATGAATTTACATTAAATGTAAAACCAAAATTAAATCTGCAACGAACACTTTATTAGAACTTTGTGCTTCTAATAAATAAAACCAAAGGGGTTCAGGCATTAAAACGGCATCATTGGCATGTTGGATAGACACGGACACTGCGTTACCTCATAAAGCTTTACCTGAAGAAGTGTTACCTGGATTAACTGTTCCCTTAAGAAGTATTACCTGGATTAACTGTTCCCTTAAGGAGTGTTACCTGGTTTAACTGTTCCCTTAAGAACTGTTACCTGACGAACTGTTACCTGATCTGTTACCTGACGAATTGTTACCTGATGATCTGTTACCTGACAAACTGTTACCTGACGAACTGTTACCTGATGATCTGTTACCTGACAAACTGTTACCCGATGATCTGTTACCTGACAAACTGTTACCTGATCTGTTACCTGACAAACTGTTAGCTGACGAACTGTTACCTGATGATCTGTTACCTGACAAACTGTTACCTGACGAACTGTTACCTGATGATCTGTTACCTGACAAACTGTTACCTGACGAACTGTTACCTGATGATCTGTTACCTGACGAACTGTTACCTGACGATCTGTTACCTGACGAACTGTTACCTGACGAACTGTTACCTGATGATCTGTTACCTGACGAACTGTTACCTGACGAACTGTTACCTGATGATCTGTTACCTGACGAACTGTTACCCGATGATCTGTTACCTGACAAACTGTTACCTGACGAACTGTTACCTGATGATCTGTTACCTGACAAACTGTTACCCGATGATCTGTTACCTGACAAACTGTTACCCGATGATCTGTTACCTGCACATATACTGTTACCTGATGATCTGTTACCTGACAAACTGTTACCCGATGATCTGTTACCTGATCTGTTACCTGACAAACTGTTACCTGACGAACTGTTACCTGATGATCTGTTACCTGACAAACTGTTACCTGACGAACTGTTACCTGATCTGTTACCTGACAAACTGTTACCTGACAAACTGTTACCTGATCTGTTACCTGACAAACTGTTACCTGACGAACTGTTACCTGATGATCTGTTACCTGACAAACTGTTACCCGATGAACTGTTACCTGATGATCTGTTACCTGACAAACTGTTACCCGATGAACTGTTACCTGATCTGTTACCTGACGAACTGTTACCTGACAAACTGTTACCTGGATGAACTCCTTTCAGGCTCTCCAGCACTAGACTCGGGAGTGGAGATGTACACAGGATCCCCTTCCTTAAAAAAATGCAAATAGACCACTTTAACTGGTGGTTTTAGCATTATTTTAAATATAACATTAACATTATCAGATGATTCCTTGCATATTTTGGGGGATAATTTGTTGATCTGCACATTGTGAGTCTTATTCGTGGGGATGTTTTACCGTGAAATTTCTCGGGGAGCCGTCTTGATTTTTGAGAATTTTAACCCTCTGGTCGCTTTCTGTCATGCAGAGGAAGTAACTCTTGATGTTGGCTTGACACTGTGGGGAGAACAAGCGTGAAATGCACTTTCCTCTCGTCTCCATTGCGTGCTCAGTGGCGTCCTTCTTACAGCCTTGCTGGTCCTCAGGGCCTTCAGGTCCTCCTGCGCTCTGAACCTGTCGGCTAACTCGCGGTGCTTCTCCCTCCAGGCCAGGCACTCGGCCGTCCTGTCCCGCCTCTCCTCCTCGGCCAGGCGCCGCTCGGCCTCGGCCTCCCGCCGAGCCCGCTGGGCCTGCTCGCCCTGGTGCACCGCCGCCGCCTCCCTGCGCCTCGAATCCACCTCGCTGCAAAGACAAGACTGGAGCTCACGTCCCCGAAATAATAAATAGCTAAAACACCACCTCACCATAGGACGCCTTCTTTCATTGGGCCTTTCAACCTCTATTTAAGACCTTCAGCAAAAAGTGGTCTACCGCCGGTACAAAAACAAACCATTAGCCGGTAAATGAAAGCAGCAAGTGATCAAAGAATGAAACGGCCCCAGTGTTTCAATAAATCCATATTAACCGAGCCCATCTGGAATGAGGAATCTTCCCCCTGTTCGACCCTTCAAAGAATCGCTCAGGCTCGAGGCGCCGCGGAGAGAGAGAGAGGTCCACACGGGGGGACAGAAGTGCGTTTGCTTTCTCTACTTTGAAGGCAGTGATTGACGTCTTGGAATCAAAGAGCCCTTCTCCTCTCCCGACATTTATTATCATTCATTCCTTATTATTCCTCCTTCTCGTGTCGCTTCCCTCCTCTCTGCTCTCCTCTCGGCTCCAGTCAAGTTGTGAACACCTATTGTGAAAGGCCGACCTCCATCGTTGGAGCGGTCATGTTTTGGGTTTTTCTTTGTGGCGGCTGACTTTTTAAAATGACGTTCCTCGTCTGGATCCTGCTGCAGCAGTTGGCAGCGCCAACTGCTGTGATGCTCCGGGTTTGGCGGCGAGCGCTGTTTAGGTTAAACGTGGAGCCGTTCATCACATTTGTTGTTCTTCTACAGTTACATTTTATGATTTCCCGACTTTACAGTTAATGTGTGATGCAGCGCTGGCTGGTCCAGAAGATTCTCACAACTCAAATAAGAAATCATCGTCTTCTGACTAAAGGATCTCCACATTGCATAGTTTGCCGTCATGTGTGAATTCATCGCTTCTTGTAGGCGGAGTACGCTGCCACTTTAATCCGATTTCATGTTTTAATTTGACTTTTAGGTGACATTGTGAACCTCCTCTGGCCCCCTCCATGTTGTTCCAGCTCCCCCTCGTATCTAAAGTGGTATTTATGCCTATTTGCTTTACAGTCTAGTAGCTGTGAACGGGTCACATGAACCCGTTTCCTCCTGTAGAGTCTTGAGAGGCCTTCTGAATCAAGCAGACGCACCTCTGTTGGATCTGGACCTTGTCCTCCGTGATCTGTCTCAGCTTCAGTCGGAGGTCGTCTCGGTCCCCCTCCAGGCTCCTGTTCTCCTGCAGAAGGGCCCGTTTGTCCCCCGACTCGCGGTCCAGCTTCAGCTTGGTTTCAAAGCAGCTCTGCTCCGCTTTAGCGAGGGAAACCTGCAAATCGGTGTGCTGTGAGGCGGGGGGGGGGGGAGGGGTGGAGGGGGGAGGGGGTGATGGTCTGCACTCATCGTGATGTCTCGAATGGACTCAATGGTGACAAACAGGTGGCAAACAGTCACCGTGGCCACTTCAAAATAAGCCTCACGCCTCCACCTCTTTCTTAAGCCGCTGCAGCTCCTCGGCCAGGCGGCTCCGGTCGGCCTCCGCGGCCCCCTGGTCCCGCTGGCTCCCCAGGGCCCGAGCTTCGGCCAGGGCCCTGCTCCTCTCCGCCTCGCCTCGGGACTCCTCCGCCTCCTCGGCGGCCCGCGAGCACAACGCCGCCCTCTGCTGGCTCTGGCACAGCTTATGCTTGAGCTGATAAACATATATTATTATATATTATATATTTATTTATATATATATATATTTATTTTTTTATTTTTTTATTTATTTATATAATATATATATATATATATATATATATATATATATATATATATATATATATATATATAGAGAGAGAGAGAGAGAGAGAGAGAGAAAGAGAGAGAGAGAGAGAGACCTGTCTTTGTTTCTGAATGTAACACGACCCACAAACCCCTGTGTGGTATGAAACGAAACAATGGTTCCACATGAAGCTGTTGAAGCAGGAGCGTATGTAGGATTTTATCCGCACAATTATGTCTACAATAGTGTAATATCAGCGAAACAAAAACAGCGTTATTTAGCTGCTGCAAATACTCAGAAACATAAAATTGCTGAAGTCTTGAGGCCCTAAGCATTGTGTCCTCCTGCACTTCTTTGTGCATTAAAACAGAAAAAGTAGCGGCGCCACTTCTTCTCCACCTGCTTCATTCTCTCAATATTTAGAATTCCCCACTTTGACTTTTATTATTATGAACTGGTGTTTTGGTTTGAATGTACCTCTTTGATCTGAGCCTGCAGCTCCTGGTTGAGGCTCCTGAGGTTCCTCATGGTCAGCTCGCTCTCCGTGCGCATCATGATGCGCTCCATGTGGATCTCATTCGATAAGTACTTGTTTTCTTTCCTCAGATCCTCGCATTCCTGAGGAAGGTTTATAACAACACTTTGCCAGCGTGAAACTCATCATTCGGACAAAGATGTTTTCACACACTTATTAAAGAAAATAATACATTTGTATTCCTAACAGCGTGTCTTTTTTATTACCATAGTAGGCTGTAGGTTATTGTTTGATCAACATTTAAACCCGTTAAACCACCTCAATTAAGCTTTATTTAGTTTACCTTTAAGTCCATTTAGCAGCTGGGGATTACAAGGCCTGGTCTCCAACTGCCATGTATTGTAATTGAAAGTTAGAGGATGAAAGTTTCCAATGTTCAAAGACAACTTAAGTGAACCTCCATTTGGTGAAGAAGATCATGTGATATATGGAGATGGACCTTGTGGTGTCCTCATCAGGCCGCAGACTCTCCACATGAAGTAGAGGCCGCACAAACCACGCGTGTTGCTGATGACAGGACGTCAGCACCTCATGTGTGAGGAGACCAGAACATGCACGCTCATGCCAGGCAGCAGAAGGGTGGATGGGAGGAAGGTGCCTCATGCCAGCGACATATGGGACAAACAGTGGGACGGGGCCATGTTGATAGATGCAGCACACGTGTTTCAGGGTGGAATGTCCCATCTGGGCAGTAACTGGATGATCTGCGTCCGTACTCACATCCAAAAGTACTTTAAAACTCAATCTGTTACATCTGGTTACCGGCTATGATCTTGTTTCTTCTCTTATTTAGATAAATGACTTGGGAGAATAGTTTCGGGATTTAAGTCGCATTGATCCAAGAATTTGTGTAATCGACTAAATTCTACTAAAACAAGACTTAAAAGGTCCAACCCTCTGAATGTTGACAGTTTTATGCATATTTAACAAAGCCAAAAAACTCTTACAACATTTTCAGGCCAAAGATAATAAATCATGGTTTATTAAACACAATCTGTTTCCTGCCTTTTCAAAACAACAAGTGATGATGTCTCCGATCCGCTGGAGCTCTTATTCTTTTGTATTGAACTAATCCAGAAATAGGAGGCTTGATTGAAACACTGTTTTCTATTGATTTGATTCCAGTTGTCCTCACATGGGGTCATAACTTCTACCACATTACAGGTCATTTAGCTGACGTTTTTAACATTGCATTTTTAACCCATGGATTTTTACAATTAGGGGTTAGGGGTCTTGCTCAGGGACACTTGAACCCGGGGCAGCCGGGGCTTGAACCACCAGTTTTGTGGTTCCCTAATGACATTGAATACCTGTACACCTGTGACACAGTCCCCCCCTCCTTACCTTCCTCTTCCTAACCAGCTCTCCCTGCAGGTGGTTGATCTGGAGGAAGGGGCCGTTGGCGCTGACGGCGCTGAGGGGCCGGACCGCCCTCACGGGCCTCCTGGTCAGTCTGGAGGGGCCCTTGACCTCCTCCGCCGTCCCGCCCCCGAGGCGCCCGACTCCGGTCACGTTGCTGCTGCTCGTGGAGAACGACCTGCGCAGGCCGCCGTCTGAGGACGCCCTCGCGGCCGTCAGGTCAGCGTGGGATTTGGCCCGGAGGGACATCTTGGTCCAAATGTCGACCTTCGGCTCGGCCGCGAGGAACCATGTGTCGGGACGCGACGTGAACGAAAGGTCTCGGTTTCCCGTCGAGCTCACTGGGGCGGATCCTTCCAGTAATAATTGATGAGGTAACGCGATAGGTCACACCCGCAGAGCGCTCCGCGCCGGTCGCCTTTTCAGCGATAAAACCTTTATTATCGGACTCCAATGGCCAAACTTCAGCTTAGTTCCCAAGAGGAACCGGAACGGGTGAGCTGCACTGGAAGTGAAAGACATGTTGTCTTTTGGAATTTTAAAATGATGTTAGCAGAAAAAAGGGGTTTGTAACTGGTGACCTTTCACAATGACGCTGCTAACTGTCACTCTTTCATCACAGAATTCTATCCGTCTGTCCTCGTGGAGGAATTGAGACGCTCTTCCAATGAGACCACTGAGCTTCTCCTGCAGCTCCACCCTTCATCCTTTGCAGCCCGGCCCGGGGGTCATCCATGCTGCAGCCCGGATAAGAGAGGAAGCCCCCCTATTCACACAATAGTAGTACGACACGCCGCCCCCCCCCTAACTTCCTCGCTGTCAGCACGTGACAAAAGAGAAGATCGCTCGTCGTGCCGGCGGGCCTCTGTTTCTCCCCCGGTCAGATCTCCTGAGAAGCGTGCATGAAGTCCAAAGAAAATAAGGTCAAATATTGATGTGATAACGCTGAGTTTGGATTTCAGTGTCAACCATCAACGTTTTGATATCCACTAAGATTGTTGCTTATTTCCGACCCAGGAAGCTTCAAAAGACCATCAAAAAAACATGGTTTGGATTTGATTAAAAGCCTACGGAACTCAATTCCCTCCCAACCGTGTTGCACAATTTAAACAAAGGGGATGTTCATTTGGTGGCTTCAGACAGTCTTTCCCCCCCGTTTGCTCTCTATGCTGAGCGTGTTTTTCGCGTCTTTAACGACGGCTTTAGAAGCTATCAAACAGGAATGGACCTCTTTAGCTTCGGTGACTGGTATGAATGCTGGAGTTTAACAGAAAACATGAGAGCTGCAAATGATCAGAGAGAAGAAGAGTAAAAGTGAAGAGAGAGAAAACAAGAGACAATGTGGAGGAAGTTCCCTTCCCCACGAGCTTGTGCGAACACGCTGGCTCGGCAGAAAAACATTACTTAAAAGAAAGAAGTCGATTTCTTCCTGCGTATTTGGCTGATGAGGCCACTTTGACGAAGAAGTGCGACGCACACGGCCCACCCGCGCTTTAAAGAATCTTTGAAACTAATAGCTAATAAAGCCTCCATGTGTTTGTTTTTGAACTATTTGTTGCTGTAAAGGCTGCAAATGGCAAATATCCGTGATTCTGACACCACGAGGATCAAACACGCGCAGAGTCACGGCCCCTCTGGGGGTCTCGTTATCTCATGAAGGGGCATCGAGCAGGTTTGAACCCCCTCTTCCTGTTTCCTCATCTCATTCGTCCTGAGGCCTCCCCCCTTGTCGTTGGCTTTATTTGGTCCCTCACATTCAACGGCTTCAGTCATACGTGTTCATATGTGTACATTCTATAGGAAACATGGCGGGATTTAGCTTTTGTACTCCATGCTTACTCTTGTCTTTTGCAGCCTTTCTGCTGGCGTCCGACTCCGAGCGAACCAGAGGTAAGTTGTTCTGCTGCTGATGAGGCAGCACAGCCTTTTATTCCTCGCCGTGTTGTCGCTGTGATTACGCGACGTGTGACGTGGGTGCTGTATTTCAGATCTACCATGCATGACCTTTTATGCAGAACGGAATATTTCCTATGGCTCAAACTTCTTATCTGCTTTTCTTGTGACGGTCAAAATTCATAGTTTAGTCACAGTCTGCAAAAAAGTTTCCAGAACGCATGAAAAAAAAAGTGAAGGCATCGGATAATATGAATTTGGTTAAATAACTGCTAGTAATTACATTATTTGGTTCTATCATCATTGTTTAACCAGGGGAATGTGGAATATAGGCACCGATATTATGGATTATTAACTTTACATCAATATGTACTGTAAACGTATTAGTAAATATTACTGTAAAGTGTGAAATGACTCAACACAAATCATGGTGCACATATCCACTGTGCAGACAAGCCTCATTCCAGGAGTGATATTGTTTTTGTTGGTAACAGAACTCTTGATACTTTCCATGTTGCTGCATACATGCTAAATATGTTCTAAAAATGTCCGTAGTGCCACGAAGTCACCGAGTGGCCGGAGTCTTCCTGCTCATCGAAGGAGGGGAATACACCTTCGACTCCGGCGCGGCCGAAGCGGCATGTCGTATTCTGAACGTAGCCATAGCAACCAGAGCCCAGGTGGAGCGGGCCCAGCGGCGCGGGCTGGAGATGTGCAAGTAGGCTTACATGCAGCGCTGCATGCTCCGCCCTCTAAATAACTTCAAGTTCCCTCCCTTTTCAGCTGCATTCATGGTACTCGAGTGGTACACTCTTTTTTTGCAATAGGAAAAAATGTACCAAAATACCTGAAGGCCTTAACTAACCACTGAAGCACAAAACAAAAACGCTAAATACTCAGCAGTGAATATCGACCTGAGAAGTAATCTACTTATTTAATTAGATCAGCCTGCACCTGGCCCCTCCGTTACCCACAATGCAACTTGACAACAATCCATTTGGACATTTGGGTTTGCCAAGCCTAAAGCCGCTGTGCCATCACAACACAAACATCTAATCATTTCACATCTATTCCAACTCAATTGTAACTTTTTTCGTACATTTTCAGCTTCCAGTTGAATCAATCAACGCTTTATTTCCTCTGTTAACAGATTCGGCTGGATAGCTGAACAGATCGCAGTCGTCCCGCGCCTTACAGCTGACAAAAATTGCGGGCAGGGCGCCACTGGTGTGGTGAAGTGGAGAGCAAAGCTGGATCAGAAGTTTGGTGTGTTCTGCTTCAATGCCTCAGGTACCGTTGATAAACCCAACTGCATCCTGGGAACGCCGCAAAGAGACATGTTGTATCCACCGTAGGAGCAGCCAAGAAGAAACCGTTGCTGTGTTTTGCTCGCCCATGTTTTGGTTATGTTGTTTTCTTTGTGTGTCTCTTGTGATAATTGTTGGCTGTTTTGCTGGGGTACAAATTGCTCTTTTGGAGAAATAGAAAGAGTTCAAAGTCTGTTCCTCCCCACTTGCAGATTTTGTGGAAACACCAAACGGTTCAACAGCCGGTGCACAAAGCTCGCCTCTCCCCACCACAGTGCCCCCGAGGCCAGAACCCGGTGGACCTTCACGCGCGTCAGCCACCAAGCCGCCTCCTTCAATGGCGCCAACAAGCACAAACGCTCCCGAGCGGACAGCTTTCCCTCCAGCCATCACTCCCCTCGTCGGGACGACACATTCCACGAGGATTTCCACCACCTACCCCCCCCCAAAGCCTTCCTCCACTCATGTTCCTACGTCTCTTTCTCCACTTAGAACCTCCAAACCCTCGGCCATCGCCTTGACCTTTCTTCCTTCTGCTCGGGCCTTCAGCTTCTCTCTTTCCGCCGAGTCAGCGACGCCACAGCCAACGAGCTCGGCGACTCCTTCCTCGGGAAGTACGTTGTGTCTGTGTGGCTTTTTGAGGCAACATTCTCTGCTATAATCATCTTATTGATTACTTTCTGTTGTTAAAGTCCAGCCTTCTGCTCATAGTTCAATTTTGATTTCTTGAAAAAAAAAAAGGTTCTCAACGTGAGTCAATGTTTTCCCTGTTTTACCCTCATTAAAACCAAAGTAAGAAGCCGAAGTAATCTGATTCCTAAATGCAAGTGTAAACTTTTAGAAATTGTTCAAATAGTTTTTATCAAAATATATAAAACACAAATTGTCATTTTATGTTAAAGACACAAAATAATCTAACATAAAACACAGATTTTTATATTCGCTAAAAAATTACCATTATTTGTGTCAAATACTCAATTAAAAAAAATAATAAAGCAGAAAAAAAAATCCATGTAAACATTTACAAGGTAACTAGTGTTGTAATTATGGGATGTAATACATTTTATTACATTTTGTTTGTGAATTCAGCTTGGTTCTTTCCATCTATTTCACCAGACACTGTAGCCACAGCACTCATTGTCCTCGGCAGCATCGTCGCCGTCGCCATAGTAGCCGTCCTCCTGGTGAGGTACTACAAGCTGTGAGTCCTGCACGCCTCTAGACGAAGAACACAGGCCGAGCGGAGATGATTCCACCCAGGAGGAGAGAACGTGTGTTTCCAACGTGCACTTCTTTTCTCTCTGCTTCCGGACCAGGAACGTGTTCACGTATTGGCCCCGGGGGCCACAGAGGGACGACACAGAGACGGAGATGTGGAAGCACGGCGACGGCGAGACGGACCTGTACAGTGGACACGAAGGCGAAGAAGAGGAATCAGACAGGAAGTACTCCAGCGACATCACTCTGTGCGTGAATCCAGACTTCAGAACAAACACCTCACAGTAGCTTCACCATGTTTGAAACTTTTTTACATGCTTTGATTGGTGTCCTTTGTTTTCTATGAAGATATAAATAGTTAGTTAGGGTTAAATAGAGAAGAGCAGAGACAAATACCAAGTGTTTCTTTACTGCTACAGAATATTATCTAAATGTAAAGTAATGGATTAAGCCAAACAGCAGTAATGAAGTTAAAACTATGCTTTTATTAGCTTTAACATTACCGTTATGAACCTATTAATGAATAAATAATTACAATTAGAATCTATATTTTTTCTGCATAATGACTAATTTTATGTTTTTTTATTTGGTACATAAGTACATAATTGATGCCAATATTTTTACTTTAACTTTAGTATAAAAACTGCAAGCTGGACTTTAGTACTTCCACACTTACAAAGTAAGTTAGCTTTGTCCACGACTACTGCTAGTTATAGTCTCTCATTGAATTGGTGTGAAATAAATAAATTCAGGTGCAAACCCTCAATGGGTCTGTGAAAGGTGAATAAATAAGAAAGAAGTGTTTAGCTTTTCTTTTCTTTTTACCAGATAGGGAAGTATAATAAGACTTACTGTCCTAAAGATGAATTGAAATACAACTTAAACACAACCAACAAGGGAAATGGGTCTATACTTGATTTTTGCTTTGAAAATGAGCTTCCAACAATATCCTTTCACTAACCCCAAGTAGTTAATACACAAACACATAGTGCTTTATTCTCACTCAAGGCAGAGAGCATGGTTCCAAACTCTTACACCAGTCTGTCCCAAAAATACAAATATCAAAAATGTAAGTATTTTGTGTGAAATAAAACAAAATCGTGAATTTGCAGTCATTCGGACAGATTTGACACTGACTGTCCCAGCTGACTTGTAGCTGATTGGATTTTCAACTGCGACCAAGCCAGCGTCCACTTTGAAGAACACAGTCAAGCGAACCCGCACGTTATTTCGCAGTACGCGTATATACAAGGCAATAATAAATAGTTACATAGCAATTCCACTCCAGGCTGAGAGTAGACAACCTCAAGGTGTCACTCACTGATTACCAGGACATTCTGATGTAGCATTTCAAAATGAAAGCCTGTCACCATTTCACTGTTTTGTAAAATGTATTATCACATTTATATATGATTTCAAGACTTATTGAATGAGTTTGACACGTTCAGTGGAAGTGCTCTTATTTTGAAGTCAGTTCTTACACTAGGATATACAGTGTAAGTATGTAAAGTGGAGGCTGGCTTGACCGCAGTGATTTACTGTAGCGACCAGCTTCAGTGTTTAAACCTAAATGAAGTGATACAATCACACTGTCTTAAGGAAATGGCAACCAAAGAAATACATGCTTTTTAAACGAGGTGTCTGAATAAGACTTCAACGGTTGGTAAATAGATTGACCACTACATTACAGACAGAAGTATTCAGTTCATACTGTTTTAGTCATCAGGCCATTCCCATGGCCACACCGAATAGTGGCGCTAATGAACAAACGGCTTATTTGCTAATCTGTGAGAAAGAGAAATGAAGAAGAAGCACGTCACGTGACCAGAAATCAATACGCTAGCAGCGATGCCGCTCCGATGCTAACAACACACCGCAGCGGGCGGAATCCTTGCTGCTCTCGGCGATAAACGTAAACTTGACCGGTTTGGTTCCCGTCGATAATTCACTCAAAATGCGCCTGGGCTCCGTTCAGCAGAAGATACCGTGCGTCTTCGTGACGGAAGTGAAGCAGGAACCGTCCAGGAAGCGAGACTGTCAGGTGAGGGACTTGTGAACAGTGCGACCCCGACCATGATGCTAACGTTAAGCTAACGTTACAGCTGTGCGAAGACACTACGCAACATCTGTGTGTCTCTGACCTCTTTCTGTCTGGCATCTGCCTGTCTCTGATATGTGTGTCTGTGGCATCTGTGTGTCTCTGATATGTGTGTCTGTGGCATCTGTGTGTCTCTGATATGGGTGTCTGTGGCAGCTGTGTGTCTCTCTGATCTGTGGCATCTTTCTGGTTTTGGCGTCTGTGGCGTCTTTCTGTCAGTCTCTGATATGGGTGTCTGTGGCATCTGTGTGTCTCTGATCTGTGGCATCTTTCTGGTTTTGGCGTCTGTGGCATCTTTCTGTCAGTCTCTGATATGGGTGTCTGTGGCATCTGTGTGTCCCTCTCCAGCAGTTCCAGGTGGTGGCCACAGAGAGCGTGAGCCCGGTCGCTGTGGTGGCCCAGGTGCATCATGCAGTAGCCACAGAAAAACTCGATGGAACTTGCTGTTATGTTTCTGTTTATAAAGGTGAGACATCTCTCAGGAGGACACGTGCCACGCACAGCTCTCACTGCAGGGGTCTGAACTTTCAATATGCAAAGATTTATCCTGTAAAAATACATTATTTTACACAAGACACATGCATTTTCTTCAGATTTGTGTTTGTTTTATATATATATATAAATAAAACAAACATTCAGCTAATTCTAGACAAACGATACGGTTTGTATTTAATTCATTTTCAGACTGACAGGATGTTTTTGTTTTTTTCCTGCAGGGCGACCTCACCTGTGGGCTCGACTCGACAGGAAACCCAACAAACAAGCCGACAAGAGGTTCAAAAAGCATCAGCGTTCTCATCATAGTTGTAAAGGTGCTTCAGCTTCAATTAACACACCGCATGTTTCACGAGGATCAGCATCAGCTCACACTACCACGCCGGTATTCAACACAATAATCTAAACGTATGAAATATTCTCCACAAACTCACACCACTTCAACATAAACTCACGTTAGTTAAAACAAGTCTTAATGATTGTCGGTAATGCATGTTTGAGTCTCGATGTGTGTGCAGTGTGCACGTACACGCTGCCCTTTATCTTCATCATTTGAATTTGTTTGCAGGCTTCCTGTGGAGCGTGGAGGAGGACTTTAAGCCGGTGCCGGAGACGTGGGTCCCGGCCCTCGGAGTGAAACACCACAGCGGGCAGCCGGTGCCCGATGAACACGGACACATTCCAGGTTAAAGCAATAAAACCTCAGTTCAATGAACGAAGATGGCCTTTGAACTCACAAATTGCTTTTACTGCAAGTCGCTCACTCCAGAACACGTTAGTTTACCGCAAGGGGATCATTCTAATGTTTTAGTACTTTAAATTCATTCGAGAGTTAGTTATTAGTTCATTTAATTGTTAGCGGAAATGCAATTGTTTTGACCCGTCCTTTTGGGCCCCTTGTGGTGGCTCAGGCTGGGTTCCGGTGGAGAAGGACAACAAACAGTACTGCTGGCACGCCTCCGTGCTGGACCCCGACCTCCGGGCGGCCCTCGTCCTCCGGCCCAGCGCCGAAGACGGAGACGCGCTGGAAGTCGTGCCGCTCCCGTTGGCCGACCTCCTGGAACGGACTCTGGAGCTCATTGGAACCAACGTCAATGGAAACCCGTATGGTAAAGTGTGCACGTGGTGCCCTTCACATACGTTCTCTTCTGTTGATGTGGGGGGGGGAGAGGATATGAAAACGTCATGCTAATGTCATCAAAGTCAGACTAGAGTTTGCTTTTAAATCCCACAGAAAACCCATTGAATAGTATGAATGAGTTCACTTTCACTAACAATGTCTCAGGTCTGGGGAGCAAGAAGACGCCTGTCCACCTTCTGGTGTCCCACGGGGCCCTACGGATCAGAGACCCCCCCCCGGTGGACTTCCAGCAGCTGTGCTCCTGGTTCCGGGAGAGTCCAGAGGGCCGAGTGGAGGGCATCGTCTGGCACTGCCACGACGGCACGCTCTTTAAGGTCCGACCCGTGTTTAACCCGTTAGACTGACCATGTGACTTCAGTCAAGTCCCTGAGGGGGACAACGAATGTCTTCTAAACGGCCCGTCTTGTCTCCAGGTCCATCGTCACCACCTGGGACTGAGATGGCCGGAGGGGGATCCCTCGCTGGGCGAGCGGGCGGTGGTGGTCGCCGTCGGGTCGGGGGACAACGTCTTCAGGTCGGGCGGCGGCGTCGTCGTCAGGAAAGACTCGTTCGCCTTGTTCTCGGCGCTGAGCGGACGCCGGTTCAGTCGACTGATGGACATCACATTCACTTTGTGAACAGAGCGAGAGACGTTTCTGTTGTCTCTGGAGCAGCCGCCGATCACCAGGAAGCATTCGGCACGGTTACGCTAATTCTTCCATTTGACGTTTGCTTTGCAGAAATGTTTACAGCTTTAATTCCAAAGGAAGGAAAAGGATAACGAGCCGACGGGACACGTTGAAGCTGCATCAATATTCTGTATGTTACAGCTCTATGTGAACAAAGTTGTGGAGGAAAATACAGGACAAGTCCGCGATGAAAAGCAGCAGCAGTGGCGATACACCATAAAGTCTATGATAAATAAATAAACCAATAAATAAATAGACGTGACTCTCTAGGTCGTCTTCAACAAAACACGTCACTCCGCCTGTTCTGGAGGTGAATTGCTCTGCAACACACGCATGCGCCGACCTTCAGTCTCGACACCATGGCTAATCGACAGTTCTCGGCGGCAGACGGTACAAACCGCTTTCTTTGCGTCGTCGGTAACTGCTTCCACCCGTGGCCTTTTGGCTTCCCAGTCCGTTTTGTAATTGCACAATCTTTTTTTCTTTGCAGCGCCAGCCTCACTGCTCATTTTAATGCGTAGGACGGCTCTCACCTCGCATGCTCCGCTCTGGCCACCCGGCACCCGCGCACACAACCGGGAGTTTTTCGCGCGTCATCGACTTAGGAGGCTGTGTATTGTGTGCGGCACAATACAAATGCGACCACGTACCATTTTAACCAGCACATTCTCAAAAAAGGGCTGTTCTTGTCTTTACTAAAATCAAAGTTAGGCCAATCAAAGGGAAGGGTGCTCTTACAAATCACAAGGGAGTGGGGACCCGTAACTTATGACCACTGTTTTTCCTGTTTCCTGTTTCATTTAGCAGACGCTTTTATCCAAAGCGACTTACATTACACTTTAAACCCATGGCTTTTTCACATTTTTGCCCGGGGAGCAATTAGGGGTTAAGTGTCTTGCTCAGGGACCCTTCAACATGGAACATGGGGCAGCCTGGAATCGAACCACCAACCTTGTGCTTTCCAGCACACCTTCTCTAACCTTCTCTAACCCCTGAATCGTCTTTCATACAATACATTCATTACAAATGTAACTAAGTTAAACTTATGTTTAAACTACACCTGATGAAGCTCAGTCTCTCCAGTCGGGTTGCAGGACCAGCGCAGCTTCCGCAGCAGACTCGCTGTGTGCTCTGCACGTTTTTAATCAGGGACGTAGCATTTGAGGGGCAGGGGGGGGGCTAGTAATTAAACTGTTCACTTTTGGTAAATGTATTGTTTTGAGAAGCTTGTGTGGACATAATGGCGGGTTGATTTTTAATTTTTTGGTTCATCAAAGTTAGGGGGGCAGCTGGGGGGGGGCAGGGCTCTAGAGTGGGGGGGCAGCTGCCCCCCTGTAGATCCGCCCCTGATGTGAAGAATAAATGTACATATCGTATGAGGCCATTCAGACGTCTGCTTTATTGACACACTTAAACATTAATGTGCTACACAGTCACCAAAGAAATTAGCTGCCTGGTTCTTCACCGTGGTCCTGAAGAGGAGACATTCTTCACAGGGGGGGGCGGGGGCGCATTTAAAGGCACAGTGACCCGTGTTAACCCACGGACACGTCGGGCAGCTCGGCTTCTACGCCAAACCGGTCGCACACCTTCTTCAGCTGCTCCTCCAGCAGGATGTTCTTCTTCACCTCCAAGTTGTAGTTATACTTCAGATCTTCGATCTCCTCGAAAAACGTCGGGTCGAAGTTCTCTAGTTCCTTCTTCAGCTTTTTCACCTCGCCTTGGACTTTGGTCTTCTCCGCTTCGGCGGCGTGCAGAGCGCGTCTGAGCTTGGCGTGGTCTGGGGAGGGAGGGGCAGACGGGTCAGAACAGAAAACATGGCGCCGCTCTCTGAACATCTCACCCGGACGTCCGCAGGTCACCTGGGGTCGAGGACGTGTCCCCGTACCGCTCGCTGTACTCGTCCAGCCTTCGTTTCAGCTCAGCGTTCTCCTCCACCAGGTCAGAGGTCATCCACCTCACAAACACATGATTCCCACAATAAACTGCACAGTCGACACTGACTTTATGACACACCAATTTCAGAATAGAACAATTTTTTATACATTTTCTATAGTGTGACTTTCTATGACTGACACTATATTAAGACCATTCTATAACTTTTCCTCTCATAACCTCTTTATGCACTTTGTCCTCCATACTATGACCTTTTTGTGACATACTGTACTGTGACTTTTCAGCATCCACATTCAGTAGTTCTTACACACTGGACGAACCTCGTGGCCTGCAGCTCCTTGGTGACCCCCCCGCCGGCCCCCGCAGTGGTTGGGAAACCCCTCAACGTGTCAACCTATCAAATCAGAAACATTCTTTTAAACTAATTCCCTCGACCCTTTCCTAAACACGTTGAATACCTTTCGTCAGGAGTAAACGTACCTGATCCTGCAGCTCCCCGATGGTTCTCTGTGCCGTCTCCTGGCTCTGCTTCATCTCCTTCAGCTGGAGTGTGAGTTCAGACAGACTCCTGGTCTTCTGGGAGAGCTCCTTCTCCAGCTCCTTCATCTTGGTCTCGAACATCCTGCGGACGGGAAAAAAATGCCACGGTTTACACTCGGCAGGCCGAAGTCTCCCAGAACGCTTGGGCGAAGTCAGCCTGCTGACCTGGTCACCACGGAGGCCTTGTGGGCCTTACTGCCCGCCCCCTGCGCGATGGCTCCGGATAGAGCCGCCTGCAGCCTCTGCTTGGCCTCCTCCAGCTCGGCCTCCAGCTTCTCGTTGGTCGCTTCCAGACTCGCCTTGGTCTCTCGCAGCCTCTGGGCCGCTTCCATTTCCTGTGACCAGATGACGTGTATTCAGAGGGGGGTTATTGCAAATGGTCCTTAAAAGTCCTTTTAAAAACAATGACTCTCATAAAATCAGGAATACTCTTCCATCACTGTGTGACTGACAGTTTGTAAGACACCTCGTTTCATTCTTTTAACCTGACTAAATAGAAGAGTAAACGTGAGCTGTCACCCTTTTGATGTCCCTGCGCAGACGTTCGCTCTCCATCACTATCTTCTCCAGTCCTTTTGTTTTAGATTCAAGTTTGGAACTCAGCTCGGCCTCACTTTGACTCTTCAGCTTCTCGTAGTCAGCCTGCAAAAGAAAACAGCCTCACATTAGAACCGAGCCGACGAGCTCCATCCCGCTGAATGTTTTATGACGCGACGGCAACGACCTTCAGCTTTTCCCTTTCCAGCTCCAAGGCAGCGACTTTGTCTTGACCTGCAGCAGCGCCGGACTTCCTCAGTGCGTCGTTTTCCCTCTGCACCCTCTCCACCACCTTCTTCATCAACCCGACCGTCTTCTCCAGTTCAGCTACCGTTTTCCCGCTGTGACCGGCCTGAGGAGCAACATGCTGCAAATCAGGAAGAGACGAGCACGAGGAGGAGCGCACCTTTGTTTCTCGTCCTTGTTAGGACATAGAAAGAACAGGAGACTTGACATACTCTGCTTATATGTGAGAGCTTTTTCTCCACGTCCGCTTTGTCCTGCTTCAGCGCGCTGCACATCTCCTTCAGGTCTGCTACTTGATTCTGGGGGACAGGGAAGTTCGAATCATACAAAAACACGTCCTCTAACTTCAACAACTACCTTCCATGCTCCATTATTTGTAAAGTTAATACACTGAAATAAAGTGATATGACTCTGAATGAAGTCTCTTATTTAGTGAAATATAGAGATATTTTGGGAGGTTTACTTTTGGATTAAAAGATTAATAACACTCGTATTTTTAAATTTGAAATATAAAGTTTCAGCCTGATGCTGAACAATAAAAACAACAGGTAGCTGTGCGATGACGAAAAGTAAAATATATAATAAATAAATATAGTAATAAATATTCTTTTGTTTTTTATGTGGACCAAAACCTACAACTAAGTGCTGATATGGGGGAAGCCACTTGATCCGAAGCTAAGCTAAGCTAATGACTTCGTATTCACTCAACAGATATGAGAGTGATGTCGATCCGCTCATCTACTTCCTGCTTGAGGCCACGCCTACCTTCAGTCTGGGTAAGTCTTTGTCGGCCTGCCCCAGCTGGAAGCGAAGCTCCAGGTTCTCTGAGGCCAGTTTGAGGTTTTCCTTCTGCAGGTCCTGATCTCTCTGGGAGGGGGTGCCGGTGCCGCGTCCTGAAGTCTGCGGGGAGTAAAAGACGTCCAGTCAGCCTGGCGAATTCATAAAAACACCACGACGTGCATTACAGTGCTCTGCCTAGATAGGACATTGAGATGCTAGGACATAGGACATCTAGATGGGACATCTTTGGCCCATCCCAGGCAGTCAAACACCAGCACACTAACGAGCCACTTAGTCTAAAATGTCTACAGCGCTATGACAACACTCCCCCCTCAGCCGGGTGTCTAGACGAGCCTCGAGTACCTTCAGATACCTAACCGATCGGCTCTCTGCTCTTCCAGGGCGAGCGTCCCCTTTTCTACCCATAAACCTCTCTCGGGGTTCGCTCAGGACGGAGCCGGTGTCCACATCTGGTTCTGCGGAGCGGCAGTGCTCTGGATTAGCGTCCTGCATCACCTCCCTGGCAGCCTCCACCCCCTCATCGTTCAGCTTGGCCTGCTCTGGCTTTTCGCCGGCGGTTCCTGCGGGATCGTCGCGTTCACCGGCACCCTGCGGGTACGTGGCTGTGGACGCGGGCTCAGGGGAGGACGCCTCCGATCCTGGTGCCCCCGAAGGATCGCCGGCTCTGGACTCGCCTCCTTCTGCGCTCCTTGTTTCTTGGTCTTTGTCGTTGTCGTCAGCGGCCTCCCCTTCGGAAGCAAAGCAGAGTTCTTGTGCACTTCCTGAGACCTCTTCGTCCTCTCCAACGTGACTGGTGTCACCGCTTCCTGCGACGTGAGGACCCAATTGTTCTCGCTGGGGGTGGACCTCCTCTGCCCCACCAGGGCTCAGCTGGGTCACCGGCCCTTCGTCAGCAGAGTCTTCATCGCCTTCAGGGACTACAGGCCGGCGGTAGGAGTCGGCAGAGGGGGGCGCTGCATTCCTTTTGCGTGACCCATCGGCAACATCAAAAGTGAGAGAGTCAGTCCCTCGGGCAGCCCGAGAGGAGAAGCTTTGGGCCTTTCTCAGGCAATCAATCAGATTCAATTCAGTGAAGGAGAAGAAAGAAAGGAAATAAAGGATGATGAATGGAGAGACACACGGATCGGTGCTCCCTGGTTATAGAACAAGATCTAGTGTGGAGTGCTTCTGCACAGACACCACTGCAACGCGCAGGGATGGAAATAAAGAGTTTTCATTATGGATGAGCATTTGAATCATCAAATTGAGTGATTGATTGAGTCGGTAGTGCGTGAGGAGGACTCACAGAGGGTCTCGATGGGGCCTCTCTGGGTATCTGCATCTCTACGGAGTGAAGTCGCTCTTCCAAATAGCGGTTCCTCAGGGTCAGATTCTCCATGGCGTCGTCTCGGGGTAAAGCCTGCTGCTCTCTGCAAGTTCAAGTGTACCTGCTTTAAACACAGCCTCGATGAGGCAGACAGGTAGTAGCATTTACATTTAGTAAAATATTAGAGATGCAGCGACTAGTTTTCTAGCCCGAATCTCATTTCATCTCTATTACTGAATAAATGATTTGATCAAAAGTATCTTGTATTATTCTAAGTTGTTAACGATAATAACACCAAAGTATTTAATAAAACATTTAACAGAAATATTAAAGTTGCTAGAGGTGTGGATGGGTAACTACTCTAAATGAATCTAATAGTTTGAGATCTGTCATGTCACACTAAGACACTTTTCTTTATGTAATTGTCACCCAGTGTGTGTGTGTGTGTTTCACAACGTTCATCTCATAGAACGTCGTTTGAATGGTAATTTGCCCCAAAAGTGAATACGGTTTTTTATCCTCTCATATACTGCTGTCAGTGTTGGCCTTAAACAATCGAAGCCTCAGCCGCTCCCCATCACCGGTCCTGGGAACGGACACGCCTGTTATTATTTTTCTCATGCCATTATCTCGGGGAACACGAGGACAGAACGTTGGAGGCAGAGCTCAAATATTTCCCTTTTTTTATCCCGTTTCGTCTGTCACGATTTGGGAGGATTCAGAACCGAGCAGAGTGTGCAACTCATCAAGATAATCCCGGATTTGACATAAGTAATCAAGCGTAATTTTGTTCTCTCGTGGTAACGGGTTGGCCATCTTGTGATCTGGAGATGAAAGCATCATTTTCTTTTTTAATATGCGAGCCAAAATACTTCATTTATGAATATCATTGTGCAATTCCTCAGTCCACAAAATGATCATGTGTGTCCAATTAGAGAAGATAAACCAAAATATTGCATGATGTTTACACACAGCACTTGTTGGAGTGATATCAGGTCACTTGGCCTCAGGCCTGTAATTAGTTACAGCACACAGCTTTTGAAAACACACTTGTTTGTGTGCTGAAACAGATTAACAATCATTACATTTTAACCGTCTCTCTCGGGATCCGGTGCCGAGGCGTGGAGATTTACAAACATAAAACCAAGATTCTTGTGTAGAAAACGCAAGTTGAAATTTAATTTCGATTCTTTTGGTGCGAGATGTCCTGCATGAATAAAATCAAACTGCTGAGCTCTATTGCACATGAATGTGTTTTACAAGTGCTAAAAATGTTAAATTCTGACTTCATGGGGGGAAAACAAGCTTTAAACACACAACAATGTGCAGTGCCAGTGCCCATTGACTTGAACGAGAAGGTGGGTTCACACTTTTGACTGGTTCAACAAAAAAGATCCACTTAGAATGTGTCAAGAAGCCCTGATTGTAGTGTGTTGTTTTGTAATATATTAAAGATAGCAGCATACTTTATGGTGAGGATCTGTGTCTCCAGGGCAGAGTTCTTCCTCCTCAGCTCTTCTGACTCCATCTCCATCTCGGCGGATCGCGCTCCCACCACCTGGTCGGCGGTCACACCTCGACCCCTCAGCTTCTTCTGCAGGGAACTCTTCTCTTGTTCCAGTCTGTGTGCACAGTGGAACGGCGTATGCATCTATATATATATATATGTATATATATAGAAATAAATGATATACACACGGACCACACGGACCACTGACCTGGCGTAGAGCTCTTTCAGAGTGCCGAGCTGTTTGGACACGGACTCATTCTCTCGTTCCTTCTCCTTCAGTGAAGTTCTCATCTTCTCCAGCTTGGCCTGCCATTTCTTCCCCTCCTCCCAACGCACCATTTGACCTTTGGACTGTCAGACAAACGAGTCGTACATCAAGTGACACGGCGATCCAGACGACAACGTTGGGACGACAGAAACGACGCTCGCACCTTTTCATGATCATCCTTCACGTGCGTCATCTCTCCTCTTTTCTCCAAGTCAGCCTCCAGGCGCCGGACCTTCTTCTGCAGATTCTCGATGGTTGACCCCTTCCCATCTGGTTCTGCCGGATTCTAAACAAGAAAAAGGGAAAGGATTCTTCACAGTGCCGGCAAACCATCCCCGTTGAAGATATAAAAGAGGGAGAAGCTGACAAAGTCCTGAGTAAAATGAAATATACATTCTAACCGCTCAGGCTACCTTCAAAGAACCAAATAATAAGAAAAATATCCTAAACCCATGTCTATCGACGATATTACTGGGACAAATAAGAATGAATGTATATGATAGTGCCTGTATCTTTGATTAGAGTGGAGTAGAAGGACACGCCTAACATCACCAGCTAACTTCCTCCAACAACAGTGCTTCCATTTCAGGAAGTTATTATGAACTGACTAACTCACGGTTGCATACTTGGGAATCCCTGAACCTTTGCGTTACCTGATCCCCATCCTGAGAATAGATAAGATCTGTCCCGAACATGTCCTCCACAGCTGAGATAAGGTAGGATTTTGGACTTTGGCGTTTCTGTCCAAAGGGTTGTAACAAACAAGATTAGCTCAATAATTAAATTCTGAAATGCACCGGAGGAGTTCATCTTCAATCTTAAAAGAATGTGAGATTCAAGTCTCGACGTACTCATCATAATTTATTATAATTGAATTGTGCAAATGTCCCGTCCACGTGATGGGATGCTGATAGCCGTCATGTGGCTGTGGTTGCATTCATCATGTGAGGACGGGCCGGACGCTCCCTTATCAACCCTTGGATTGACCCTCGTGGATGCTGACCTGAAGGGTGCTGCTGAGCCTCTTCACTTGCTGCTTGAGCTCCTGCACCTCCTGCTCCTTCTCCTCCTTCTCCGCCTGCAGGCGTCGCTGGCTTTTCAGACTCTTTTGGAGGTCCTGGTTCAGGCCGTCCACCTCCTCTTTCAGGCTTTTCTCCCGACATCTGGCTGCTTTGGCGAACTCCTTCGCAGCTTGAAGTTCCTCATTAACTTCCTGTACTTGCACCTTTGTCAGGAGGAGAGGTGTTACAATGCAGAGGATAGATATGGAGATACCCTCAAAGACGGGATGCTGCACTAAGTGAATGCACATTTATGAATCATTGCATCCTTTAACACCGCAGGTAAAGAAAAGTTCACTCTCTGCAGACACTGCAGCCTGATTCAGTGCGCACGACGGACAGGATGCTGAAGCAGGTGGTACGGGAAAAGGGAGCCGTCCCCGGTTTTAGAGGGGACGATGAAATATGGTTTCAAGGGGGCGGTCTGATGGATGGCGGAAAATCAATCACTCAGAAGACAGGAACCCGAGGTTCACGGCCTGCCATGCACAACTCATCGCAAAAGGATGTGGAGGAATGCCAGTAATGTGTTTTTCTTGTAATCCGGGCGCTGTCCCGGTGGTTTGGCTGTTCGCTCTATTAGTCCGGCAGTGGGAGGAGAGCGGAGGGCACGGGAGGAGGGCTGGGAGCAGATGTGAGCGGGTGGAGGATTCCTAACGCAAGCAAGGCACCAGGGGAAGCATCGACAAACGTATTGGTTGATTTTGTTATTTCTTTGCCTTTGTGAGGCCCGACAAATTAGTTTAGTCCAACTCAGTGTAAATGTAAATTGATTAAGAGCCCACGAGTTATTTACAAATGTATTCATTTATCAACAGCGTCACCTTACGCCAAAGTAGCTATATATTTAGATGAATTGGTAAAAACCGAGCCATTTACCAGCTCAACACGTGTTCATAAATGTCAGCATTGAAATACAACATGCCTGAAAAAGAAACATTTCTTCATGATAAATGGAAGAGGGGGAGGGGGGGGGGGGGTCCAACCTTTAGCTCTTTGGTGTGTCTGTCAACCAACATCTGCACATTGAGGCTCTCCTCCCTCTGCGCGGCGCCGGCTACGACTTGCTGCTCGGCGGCGGCCGTCATCTCGGCCCGCAGCTGCAGCAGAGCCTTACTGAGAGCCTGTAGACGCAGACAAAGAAGCCGGCGATGATGGATGGGACCGCGCCAGTGGTCAGTGAACGCATGGTCATCCATCTGGGTAGAAACTTGACCAACTACATTTACAAAAATTACAGAACTGGCCTCCTTCTCCACAACTCAACGTGACCGAGCCAGGCAACGGCAACGGACCAGAAAACGGTACAAGTGAGTGCATGAGGTCAAAGAGCCACCTTGAGCTGCTTCTCCTTCTGGCTGAGCTGAGCTTTCAGCCGCTCCACCAGGTTCCTCATGGTGTTGCTCGGGGAGCGGACGTTGGCCTCCTTCTGGGCCGCCAGCTCCGCGCGCAGGTAGTTCACCTCCTTCTCCACGTGGGCCATCTGGCTCGCCTGATCCTCAGTCTGACCAGTCAGAGCTTTCACCTGGGCGGCGTGCTCCTCCTCCAGCCTGCAACAGACCCCCGGGGTAAGCTTGTTTCTTAAGGGACACATTTTCTCAACTTGTTGCATTTGAAATAATGAGCTTTAATTTATATCTGACCGGGGTTAGGAATGTATTTTTGACTTGGTCAGGCCCAGGTCATTCCTTCTTGCTCAATACAGTGGGGGCACATGTTGTGCTACATGTCTCTAGTGTTCTAGAACTTGTATGGCATACATGGTCGTCAGGATTAGAGACACATTTAAAAAGGGAAAATATATATTCCAAATATTAGCCTGCAGAAAAACCTTAAACAGTAAAACAAGCATGCACCAACTGTCAGAAAAATAAAATAGTGTCTAAAACTATCAAAATAAGGAGGGGGCGGGGCAATTCCAGGTTGATTACTGAATGACGCAGGACAACATTCCTTGGTGTGTAGTACTGTGACCTTCATTCGGGCAGCACTTTTAGTGGGTCATTCGATTTGATTAAGTTTGCCCGATAAAGCGATATTGGTTCCGAGCCGGATGTTTTTTGCTATTTGATGTAACAAGCAGCGATTGAGCCCAGTTGTCAGGTAAGCAGATTCGACCTGAGTGCTCGTTGAATTGGCAGCATCATGCTACCGAGCAAAACTTAATGCAATTGAAGACAATTACTCTCCAACATACTCAACATAATAGTCATCTTGTAGTTTAAATGATCTTCAGTGGCTCAAGCGATCCAGTGAACTTCTGAACTCTTGAAAGCCTCGTCTAAACTACTTTGGTTGAATTTTATTAGACTCTAATCCTGTTAAATTCCCCATATGCCCCTTCGGGGTTGGTAAAATCCTTTGATTCTCACTCTCGCACAGCTTGTTCCTTCTTAGAAGCTACTCGGTGCTGAAGCCTATTCTTCTGTATGGCATTTCAGATCACTCGAGGCCTTCAGTTAAGTGTGTGGGGGAGGGGCCCCCCCATGTAAACTACTGAATTGACCATGGGTCCCCAGGCTTCATGGGCTGCCCATCAGTCGTCAGGTGGTGGACTTTGCTGTGACTGTAATTTTAGCCCTGGAGTAATCAACATATTTTAAATGGTAGATTTAGGTGCTCCTGTGGCGCCTTTGTGTTTGCTGCTGTTAATATTCACATCAATCATTAATGACTCAACAACGAAGATGATTTTATAGGAGGATAATCACTTTGACATGTCGCCGGCGTGTCTCTTAGCCAGGGTTTCCATGGTGATCCTCTGACGCTCCAGCTCGCCGTTGGCCAGCTTCAGCTTCTCTGTGATGGAGGAGAGCGACGCGTCCTGTTCAGCCGCCGTCTGCTCCAACTCAGCCAGACGCTCGAGATGCTTGGTGGTCTGCACCCTGATGGTGGGCTTTTTCATCAGCTCCTGAAGAAAACGAGGGTGGGGGGCATGAGACTCCACATTGATGGATATCCAAATGAAACTAGAATGTTATGTATGATGGCATGAGAGTGCTTGAAGCTACTGCTGATAATATGTACCAAAGCGGTCTGTTTGAAGCGGTCCAGCGAGGTGTCCGTCTGCTGGTCCAACTTGTGATGCAACGTTCTCAGCTCCTCCTGGTGTCTCTTGATCATCTCCTCCTGGTCCTGGGATCAACCAGCCGGAGTTGAATGAAACGAAAGGAACACATATCAAAACACACGAGTCGGGTTTCTAGATAACAGTGAGTTACCTCTTTAATATCTTGCTCTCAAAAGGAGCAACTGCTCCTTTAAAGGCACATGGGAATAACAGCGTCGTGGGATCACTGTACCTGTCTGGCTCCAGCCAACTGGTTGTGGCATTTCTTTATCACGTCCTCTTTTTTGTTGAGCCGGGCCTGGAGGTCTCGGATGGTCTGGTGAGCGAGCTTGATGGCCGGCTGACTATCTGATCGGCCCTCTTCGTGCTTAGCGAGGTCCGCCAGCAGGCGCTCTCTGCTGGCGGCCGCCGGGAGCCGCAGGCGCAGCTCGTTGATCACTTTATCCCTGGAGACGACGTTCTGTTCGGCCATCCGCAGAGCGGCTTCTTTCTCTTTCAACTTCTGCGCGTGGAGGAAACGGAATTCAAACGCCGTGCTGGGTGGTTCATCGATGGGGCATTCGATGCAGTCACGGTGCTTTGAGTGAATACCATTACCTCATCCATACTTTTGCAGGTGGCCTGCGTGTCTAAGATGGTGCGGACATGCTCTCTGATTTTCCCCAAGGCAAACTGTAACTGGTGAGCTAGAGGGAGGCTCGGGTCGGGATGGGATCCCGTACCGTCTTCATACTGAAAACAACCAAACATTAAGTAGCAAACTAACACGCGCACATATGATGAACTTGCGCCGTTTCCTTCTCAAAGCAGCGGTTCACCTTTTCCGACCCGCTCACTATTTCATTTTGGTGCCTTTCGTACTGGTCCAGTTGACGCTCCAGCTCCACTTCTCGCTGATCATACGCAAGCTGCCGTTCTTGCAGAAGCTTGACGTGGAAAAGAGAAGAGCTTTCTTGTTAACAAGTGTTGCGTTTACAGTTTTCAGAGCTGCACTTTTCTTGATTCTCTGTAAACAGGTAATTGACCCTTCATGGATCCCCCTTGTTTAGCCGTGGGCTTGTTTTTATGTGCATGACGTCTTTCCTTCCAAAGGGAAGAGAAAAGATACCATTGTTGATCTTTTGATGGAGACTACAAACTTTAATTTCGCATTTCTGAGCGTGTAAAGAAACTGTCAGGAGTTTTTCTCCTGCTCACCGTGTTTTGCTGCACAACGTCCTCTTCCAGCGAGCGGATGGTGCGCTCCTGCTCCTCCACCAGGTTCTTCAGGTACCTGATCTCCTCCTTTTGGACCACCAGCTCCCTACCTTTCCTCAGCTCCTGCAGACGAGCTTCTTCCATCTTCTTGTGCCACTCGGTCACCTGTTGGCAGTGTTACGGTGGTGAGCTTTTCAGCAGGTGTTGACTAGTTTCGGGCAAGCTGTGCCACGTAACAAGACTAACAGTATCGGTCAATCAACAAAACTCACCTTCTGGGCCCCTTTCACGTCCTTTAGAGTTGAGATGAGCTCCTCCAGGCCTCGGAGTCTCAGTTCCAGTTCTTGCGCCCTGCCCTCAGCCCCCCTCCTCTCCTCCACAGCCTTCCTCTTCTCCTCCTGGGCTTGGGCTTGGTTTTCCTGGAGGTCCACCATGGCCACAGAGAACTTTTCCTGCTGGTGAAGTGGCAGAGCTCCGGCAAATTGCCTTCGCAGCGACTGGATGGTCTGCCTCAGGTGCTTGGAGCGGTTTCTCCCCTCCTGGCGGGCGAGGAACAGAGCGCGCTCGCCGGCGTCCAGCCGCTGTTCGGCACGCAGCCTGTGGGCCTCCAGCTGCTTGACTTGAGCAGCGGCCGCCTCCAGCTGGGCAGAGAGGGCCGCCTCTCTGAGCTGCAGAGCAACAACGTGCTGGTGGAGCTTTGCAATGAGGGCCTTCTCATCGGACTGGGACTGAGGGATGGCAGTGACATGGTGAGGGGACACACACTTACGGTTTCATATGATATAGTGATTCTAGGGTGGTTTGTGTATACTTTATAATCCCACTATGGAGAATATTTAAAAATGTTAACTATGATTTATAAATGTTAAGCATTGGGACATTCGATTAAAAAGTTTAAGAAAATCAAAAAAGCAACAGCCAAGTACCTGGTAGTCCAGTATTTGTCTCCTCAAAGCGTCTACCTCCTTCTCGTTGGACTGTTGTCTGGCCTGTAGGGCAGACGCCTGCATCATGGCCACGTCAGATACCTCTTGGAGCCTGCACAAAACAACAACCAAAGCAGAAACACATTCCAGTTTTATTGAAACTCCCCACGGGCGCCATAACCTCGGCCCACACGGCGGCCTCTCAGAGGCAGACTTTACCGGCCCAAAGGGAACGGAAAGCCGCAGGAGGCGAATTAGTTCGGCACTTGAGATTCCGTGTGAGCACCATAAACTATGAGAAGAGGTAAATTTCATGCTCTGAGGAAGCCAACGTTTGCTTTCAAATGTGGTTGCAACATTTGGAACAACCAAAATCAGCATATTGTTTTTGAACGTGTCCTAAAAATACATATTTTAGTGTTTCTAAACCAGGTGCTGAGACCACTGAGTGCACTGAGGACAGGTTCAGGTGATCCACGTGGCAGAGCAGGTCAACTTCTTTGAGGCCAAGAAGTTGTCCTGCTCTTCCTCCCTTACATGCCCACACCCCTAGAGAAGTATATCTAAGGAATGAAAACCATTTGACAGTTCTGACCGATTGTCTCCTGATAACAGCACTGGGACCTTAAACACTGATGTTTATTCAGCGTTTTCCCAAAGTAATTTGAGGGTCTCAAATGCAATCTTTAACCAAACATATGCTTTGCGATAGGAGCGTGAATGATCAATCACAGGCCGGCGCGTTGCCAAACCTACTTAGAAACCTCGACCCGGAGTCCAGCCTCGGCCTTCTCCAGCTCTGCGATGCGGGCTCTGTCGGCGTCGCTCAGAGCTTTGCTGACGCCTCCGGCCAGCTCGTCTCTCAACTCCCGCTCCACCCGCTGGGCCTCCGCGTTCATCTTGGTCAGCTGAAGTAAAACAGACACGACCCAGCTCCATAAAAGCACAAGCAGTTATTCAAAAGTGTCAGATAAAGACTTCTCAAAGAGAAAGAACCGTTTAAATAAGATTGTGGGGAAGAGTCGACGCAAAGTGGTGAGAATCTGGCACGGTTCGAGCTGTGTGGCTGTCGGAGGTCGTGAACTGTGAACCAAGTGAACCAAATGGCCTTTTCCCCCCACATCACGTTCATTAAACGTCAGCGCCGTAGGCCCCCCCGACCGACGCAAGTGCGTGACTGAGAAAAACGCCCTCCCATTGTTGTCCTTGGCCTCGTACCTCTGCAAACTTGGACTCCAGCTCCGTGTTGCGTTCTTCCACCTGCCTGAGGGACTTCCTCAAGTGCTCGTACATTTTGTGGGCATGCTCTGCTCTCTGCCTCTCGTTCAGCTCCTTCATTTCCAGGGTGGTGATGCGCCTGGCAGCCGATACCATCTCCTGGTTGGCCAACGCCTTGTCGGCCTTATCCATGTTACTCTCACCTCCTGATGACAGGAAAAAAAAAAAAACACGACAGAATTTAAGGGTGGAATCCACAAGCTACGATTAACTTTCAAGGTTAAATTTTGCATCAAAGCCACAAAAGACAGGCTCATACAAACACGGTTTCATAATGATTTACTAATAATAATATAAAAAAGGTTCAGCTGCAACTGATTGTCCCTCTTTTGCTGCATTTTTGGTACCATTCCTGGTTTGAATCCCAAAGTTGAACTCTACCTATTCTGCAAGTGTTCTTCTGGCCAACAGCCTTATTGGACCGTGAAGATTTCTTTGTCAACACACAGACAAGCGGGTGTTGACATTGCTGGAACACAGCATTAATCAAATGAAACCATCAAAGTTGTATTCGCTGTATTCTCGGCACAACGGTCAATTAAAGCTCCATCGGGACGAAAGCCAACCGTGCATTAAACATGCACAGCTTTCGGTCCGACCTTTAATCGCCCACTCTGTTTGTGTGTTCTGTGTTGATGATTTGATTACAACACAAACTCCTTTTGTGCAGGATCTTTGAATCCTTCTGTAACCTTGTTGTTGGCATAGTAAGTAATTGTTTGAGAAGGTATTTCTGCCGACCATCAGCTCCGCCATCAGTTTACCAATCGCATTGATGTTGTTCCATGCTTGCTCCAAGGTATTCAGTTTCTCCTTTGTGATTTCCAGTTCCTTATTCATGGCTGACATCTGCTCCCGGAAAGACTCATTCTCACTCTGAGGGACAGGAAGAAGATCAACACCAGACGCGTCGTCAGTCCACAGTTAAGAGACAAAGATATAAACGTTGTGCAAGTGTGTTTTGATACCTCCAGATGTTCGAGGTTGGTGGTTCTCTGTATCAGGCGGCTGTCCCTCTGTAGCACGTCTCTGTATTTCACTGTCAGCTCTGTGTACTGTTTGTTGGCCCTCTCCAGGTCTGATGAGGGCACGCTATCATCCAAGGCCTTCTGCAGCGCTGCTATCTTGTACGCCGACATTTCCTAAGACAAAACAAAAGACACCAACAACAGCATTGTGCGCTGGTGATAATGGGAGACAAAGTGGTCGCCTTGGTGGGGCCTCCGTCGGGTCTCTGAAGAGCCGTCGTGATGCTCAGTGCGTGGCTCTGGCAGGAGGTGGTTCACGGGCAGAGATGCGGCAGGCTCGGCACGCACCCACCTGTCATTCAGAGCTGCCCCGCCCTCAATTATGAACTACTTCTTTGACACAGGGGTCAATGATTGACCTTTTTTTTGATGCTAGCCATTTAATGGCCATTTAAGCAAGTGGAGTTTTTGGCACTTCCCTGTTTGCCTCATTTCTCTGCACTGGATGTGGACGCCTGTTTCGAACATTAGGTGGTGACGTGCTTCATCCTGTTGTGGCTAAAGTGTCTATTACAGCAATAAACATGTGGACATTGGATTTAACCCCAGAAAGAAAAGAAAAAAATGTTCAACTGGCAAAACATTTGTTTGTGTATTTAGCTCATCCAAGTTTATTCTGGCAAAGTCTTCTTACTTCACTTCTCTCCTGACTCCCATTCATGTCACTATAGCAGCGGCCATATATATCTGTGCCGCGTTGCCTCGCTACCTTGTATCTCTGCAGGTAGCCTATCCTCTGGGTGACAGAAGCCTGCATGCGGCTGCTGTCGTCCCTCAGCTTGCCGTTCTCCCTGCGGAGGTGCTGTTCTTGCTCCAGCAGGGTGACGTAGCGACGCGCCAGTTTCGTCTCGTTGACCTTCAGCACCGTCGCCCTGCGCAGCGCTTCGCTCAGCGATCTCCTGACTTCCTCCGGGCTCTTCTGGAGGCTGTCCAGCAGCTCCTTGTGGATTAAAGGATAAGTTGAGCTCAAAATATTTATTGTTTTATGGGGTAGCTTGAGAATTGAGGCATATATCTTAAAGCCGTGTAAACGGGAAGCACATTGTAAACTACTTTTCACCCCATTAACATTTATTGGTCTGACTTACGTTGAATTCTTGGATTTTAACAGCATCCACTTGCTTTTGCTCCTCCAGCTTGTTCTTCAACTCTGTAAATGTCTCTTTCTCCTTTTGCCACTCAGACTTCTCCCTGAGCGTAAAAACAATGAAAATGGGTTCATTTTGCACTTGTGGTCACGGACCAGCTGTGATGGTGCAATCCCATCCCTCGTTTAACCAACCGCAGGTATTCTTTATACAAGAGTCCTTGTTGGTGGGTAACAACAGAGAACTTCTCCTTGTATTCCTCCAGTGTTCCTGCCAGTTTCTTGTTTTTCTCCTCCTGGTTTTTAAGCTCCTAATTAACACAAGTGTTAGTTGATTTACAGCTTTACCGTCTGGGTCTTAAGAAGACAGTTAAACTGACCTGAAGAAGTCGGATGGCGTACTCATTCAGAGAGCTGATGACCTCAGTGCTGCTGGGCGCTAAGCCCTCGGGGAGGGTCAGAGGTCGGAAGGCGACCCCCTGGTGGCCCGACCTCCTTAACAACTCCAATTCACCTTCCAGCTGGCTCACCTGGCGAGGCCAGACAAAGAACATCAAAACAAGGGCAGTTAAACCCTTCTTTTTAGGGGGAGATGGGGGGGGGGGCATTAAATGCCATTAAAATGAAATATGAACACACAGAACACTTGTTCTACAACAGCACGGTATCAATTCTAAACGCTCAGCACGCGTCTGAAAACAAAGAGGCTTTCAGGGAGATCAGCTGACTCACTTCTTTACCAGAGTCATTCACCTAAAGACGAGGCGAAAGGCCGGCAAAGGACGGAAACGGATAAACCGAGAAGAAACTCAATGAACCAGACAGCGGGATGACGAAGCAGAATCCATGGAGGAATGGAGTGGTGGAACAGAGGAAGCGTTGAGGGGAGATATGATGACTGCCTTGAGGACAAGAACAAGCATCCAAACTAACATTTTGTAGTCAGCGCTGTGAGAAAACACTGGTCCTATTTATCATCTGTTCCAGTCATGCTCAGCCCGCTCAGACACGGAGGGGATGCCAGACATTCCAACCCTATCTATAAATCTTCATTACATAAATTGCTCTATTTTCATGCAAAACATTATTTTGTTGATTTGGAAAAGAACGTTCCGACACATGGCTGTAAATTGCTGTTGGCACCGAATAACCACTTTTAGAACCACTTGACTTTGACAAATCAACCTGACGAGGTTTACATTATCGCCGCGTTGTCCTGCCAGAAGGAGGAGGTGATGCCAAAAGAGGGGGTTAGATAAGAAACGGGAATCCATCAAACAGTTGTCCAGTTGTCCGTCAACATCAGTCAACGGGCATCGTGTTTTTAGGAAGAAACTTTAACGCACCTTTTCTTTGGCTGCGGCAAGCTGAGTGAAACTGCCGGTTGCTTCCAGACGGGCCGATTTCAGTTCCTGCCTCAGCTCCTGGTTTCTGCCCAGCAGCTGATGGATTTGGGACTGGAGGTCCGGGGCCGACTCAGACTGCCCGCTCAGGCTGCCGGCATCCACGGCCTGGGACGTGGAAAAACAAATGCCATAGATGTACCATGTAACGGTCCGCCACCATCCTGTTCATTAAACTTATTCATTTAACACTTTTACAAGGAATGACAAGTACTTTGTCTCCTAAATCCCACCGCGGACGGGAAAGATCATATTTGAGGGGAACTTGGGTCTTTTTTTTCCCAGTGTTTTTGAGTCCAAGTGACTAATAAAAAATGATCTGATCAAGTTTGTATCGTAAGCGATCTCCTTCGCCTCCAACAACATTATGGAAAAGGCCGCGGGGAGAAATTAAACGCTTTTCCGCTCTTCAACAATGAGGCGGAATGTTTGGATATTGGCAACGTGGATGCGAGTCGAGAATTTGATGTTGTAATTTTACGATATATCTTATCTTCCTGTTCGTATGGTCAGACTTTTCTGCGTTTCCACCTTTTCAATTCACATGACAGAGGACTTAAGTTTTCGGACACCCCACAAGATGATTGATGATCAGAGGTTCCTAAGCTCCACCCATCCTGCAGACTGCGTCGCACGCTGTGTGACGATCGAGGGCATAAACTCCAAAGATAATATAATAATGTAATGTACTGTTGGACTAATGGACTCTCTCAGAGCAAGACTAATTGGATCAGGTGACTTTTACACACGAACGTGGGGAAATAGGATCCAGGCTTAAAAACGCCAAAGTCTCCTCACTACTGCTTCTTATGGGCTTTTCCGTAGCTTGTGCCTTGCACTTCATACGGCCTCCTCTCGTACTGAACAAGCCAAACAAACATCCTCTCAGCTGTTTCAAATCCAACTCACTTGGAGCCTCTCAAACCCCTTTTTTTGCGACTTGTTGTTTGTAGCCATGTGCCAAGCCCTCTCCTTTATCAACTGACAGAAGCCATTCAAGCACTGAGCAGGGAGCATGGCTATGGTTTCTCAGCATATGTTTCAGGTTATATTATCAGCAGAGGGATAAAAAGGCTTTTGCATTAGTGCAAACCAGAGCTCTTGATTTGAATGTTTATAGATAAGAGATAAGATAAGGTAATCCTTTATTAATCCCGCATTTGGACTCTGTAGGCGTCATTGTATGATGCGAGAGGTTGTACAATAGATGATATAGCGAGGGCACGTCATTACGTCTCACACCCACTAATGGATGAGTCAGCATAATGATAAATGCATCCGCGATCACGTCAGATGGGGGAGACACTTACGTTGACCAACTTTTCAAGACGGGGAATATTGATGGCAGCCGGAGTGCTTTCTCGATTAACCCGCATGGCGTGGAGGACTTCTTTCAGCGCGCCCTCCAGGTCGCTCTTCACCTTCGTCAGTTCTTCCACTACGAGTTCGCGCACAGGAGGGAACAATGTCAGCGTGGCCCGCGTGGGGCTTTAAGTGCAGCGGGGCGGGACTCACATCGCATGTGGAACTGGGTCTTATGAAGGTCCAGCTCGCTCTCCTTGTGGCTCAGAACTTGTTCTAGGTGCTCATTCTGCAAAGTGAAAATGGAAACATCAGAAATCATTCATCGATTCAGTGAATGATCGTTTCTCTGCTGTTTCTTTTCAACATTTTCTTTTTTTCTGCAGTTGCAGATATTAATAGAACAATTTCATTCAATTCCTTCGAACATAAGAGTCTTATATAAGTACATGACATCGTCCGAGTGCCCCCCAGAGAGCAACTCTACTGTACTTTGTAGCACTGTAGCTAATTGCAAAAGTGATGAGCTCTCCATCCAAAGCAGACTGTAACTATGGTTATGAAACAGCGATCCTCTCTAGCAGCGAGTCATGGCGGTGAGTGGATCAGGAAATCAATCCTCTTTGGAACACTGGACCTTGAGCAAGGCAAGAGATCATTAATCATGTGCTCACTTTGCGTCGGTCCTCTTCATCCGTGTAGGTCCTGCCCGGTTTCCTGCCGGGCCCGAGGTCCTCCTCCAGCAGCAGGCTGGACTGTGGCATCCCTACGAACACAGCCCAGCGTCACATCATAACACAGGTGGCGGCGAGGATTTTGTTTGTCTCTTATCGCATATCAGGTGTGACATTAATCTACAGGTACCCCAAGTTAAAATCAAAACCCAATTTTTCCGTTTGACGCCATAATTGGTGTAATTGAGTGCAACGATTTGGAGGTCACCTCTTTCCTTCACCATGCGCCTGACTTGTTTCTTCAGCTCCAGTCTCTCTTCTTCGAGTCTTTCGATCTAGAAGTCAAATAAAAGCCACGAGGTGAGAGTTGCTGAGGAGCCGCAGGGATTTAAAAATGACACTTCTTCTACCTCTTTGGTGAGGACTTGGTTTTCCGCTTTGTACTGCCGCTGGCGGAGTTCTTTTGCTCGCCGGAACTCTGTGAGGTCAACTTCCGTCGCTGGTTCCAGACCTTGATGGTCGTCAAAGAGAAGTAGAAAATAATAAACAATACTTTGTTTCATCGCTCAGGTCAATCAGTGTCTAAATAGGATAAGAGAAGGCGAGAGAAAATATGAAAAACAAACAGACCTAGTTTTTCTCGGAAATCCTCGTTTTGGTCCATGAGCTCATTCATTCGCATCTCAAGCTGGTTGATCTCTTTGGTCAAGGCCTCCGCCTCAAGATCTCGCACTTTAATTTGATTTTTACTCTCTTTGATCTCTGCGATGGCTGCTTCCAGGCCATAAGTGCCCTGTTGTGCAGAGACAGAGCTGTGATTCTGATTTCTTCTTCAGCTTAAACTCTTTTTGGGGAAACCAGGATGTGATTAGATATGGTGGAAGACAAACACTTAGCTTGTCGACCCACAGAGAACATTTAATATTTTGAAAGAAAGGAATAAAAACGTAAGCTTGGCTTCTGGGAATTCAAGTCTCAATTCATTCAATATGGGTTAAAAAAAGAGCCCTTGAAGTAAGCCGAAAGTGAAAAGGGAACTCAAAGGAGACAGAGGGCTTGTTTGAAGACTTACAGACTCATACTGGCTCAAGCGGTTTGAGGCCTCAATGAGTGCTTTGTCTTTCTCTTCGGCGTGAGCCTCGGCGAGCTTTGCCGCCCGCGCTGCTTCCACGGCTCTCGTCTCCGCAGCCTCCAGCTTGGACTTCAGCTCCTGCATCTTTCTCTGCTGTACGGACGATGGGAGGCCTTGGAGAAGAAACGGAGACCTGTCCTAAAGCTGCAGACTTAATGATGAGGTGATCACGGTCAGCCCCTGGAGTGAATGTTCCCGTCCCTCCACCGACCCAAAGAACCCAGCATCCGTTTCGTGGGCCAGAGGTATTTGAGCTCCAAACTGAACCCGTCCGCGGCCTTTAGCGGCGCCTCGGGGGTAAGCGTCTCCGCTCAAAGAGCCGTGGACAGGAGGAGCAGGGGATCGAATCTTGTGATGAAAGCACAGCTCTCTCTCTCTCGCTCTCTCCCCCTTCAACCACAGACGTCCGGCACAATCTTGAGTGGAATATCTGGCTTTTTAGCCTCTGAAGGCTGGATTGCTGAAGGCAGCTTCTGGCCGCGGGCGAAAACAACCGGGATTAGAGCGGTGAGACCGAACCGGAGGGACAAGTGCCGAGCTTTTCACCCCTTTTCACTAAATCCTTTTAACAGACTCTTGAGCCTTAAAGATGACTATGCTTGTGGGTTCTTCCTCAAACTAACGTTACCTTACACAACCCGGCGCTTGTAGATCCCGTACCACTTGAGCAATTCCTTTTTAACATTGTGAAACATTCGTTTGAATAGATCGATGGCGTCTTAACAATGTCAAACGAGGCTGAAAGGTGTTCGGGATGTCTGGTTTGTTCTCCCCCCGATCCTCATCTGAAGCTTTTAATATACAACATCTGCTGATAAGAGTCCTGATCGGATTCTTTTCCTTTCGACACCTCAAGTATGTTTCAGCGATGAAAATCAATCCAATAAATTAAAAAAAAGAACCTGCATCCAAGCGCTTTTCTTATCTCTCTCTTCCATTCAAATTGTTCTTATACAAAACATATTTGGCCCCAACACGGTAATAAAGGACTCAAATAAAGAACTTTTGATTCAACATTCGATCACATCTGCTGTCACCCACCTCTGTCCTTCATGGTGGAGGTCTTTAGCTCGTCGATGAGCAGGGTGTGCTTCTCCATCTCCCCTGTATACTGCTCCACCTGCTCACTCAGTATCTTGATTTGATTATCTCTCTCTTGGACGGCCTTTGGGAAATTCACAAGTTAGAATTAAGAGAATTTATGTGAAAGGCCGAGCGCACTGAATCATATGCACTTTCATCATTAAGGAAATTTATGAGATGAACAAAAAAAAAAAAAAAAAGCGGGTGAGACTGAGGTTGAGACCAACGGAGGAAACTTACGCTGCAGAGCTCAAATATGACCTGCCCCAAAGCAGCGATAAGAGAGATGGGAGGGAGGACAGGTTGATAGAGCACGTTAAGGCAACAAGACAAAGCAGAAAGCAGGAAAAACGACAGGTAGGTGGAAGAAAATGAAATCAGGATCACAAACAGCGACTTCCCACATTAGAATAAGGATTTTGGTCGGCCCGATGTGTGTAAAGCTTTTTGAGCAATGAGATTAGTAACTAAGTGAAATTATGTTTCTATTTGCAAATACTACTGGCTCAGATGAATATCAACTCCATGTTAAAGTGACCCAAAGACGAGTGGCTCCTCGCGTGTCGGGACAGACCTGCTGCAGGGCCCCGATGTCGCTTTTGTCGAGGTCCAGCTGGGCGGACCGCAGCTTGTCCCTCTGCTCGCGGATCATCTGCTGGTACACCAGAATTTCATCGTCCTTCCCAGAGAGCACTCTCTGTGTGGGAGGAAAAAGGGAACAAAAGAGCCGGAGCCGACGGCGGCAGTGAAGAAGCATAGTGACGTCCACGTTTACGGGGTAGTTACCCTGTAACGTGCTGTAATAAACGTGAGCTTTGTTTGAAGCGACTGTGATATTTGACTGGGTGCCGTAAAGAAGCTGAGTGAAGACGTCCTGAAACGATCTGCTGGGTGCTTAATAGATGTGCATGTCTGAGATCAGCTGATGAATCAATACTGATAATACGTCCTGCTTCCGCTGTGACAGCCTTGTATTCTTTTGACTAATCGGCAACATTCAGCACAGAACATTTCTCACAATATTTCTTTTATACTTTTACGTGCATCTGGTGTAGAGATGACAATCCAGGCCTAAAGAGTTGTCAACATTTGAACATCACTCACCTTCCACTCCTCCACTTTGGCGTTGACTGCTGCCATGATTGTGTCATCCTCTTCAGTCCTACTATGAATCTTATCCGTAAGCTCTCTGACCTGCACATTAAACACACAACCCACAGCGGATACATTGCAGCCATTTCTGTTAATCTTGGAGTGAAATGATGAAAGGCATCAGGTGATGAATTTTAAGATAGATATAAAGATAAATATGACACACGCAGAGCTGCATACAGAAGAGAGAAAGAGGTTCTTTACTTGCAGCTTTGTGTGGTCCCTCTCCTTCCTGAGCTGGTCCATGATGGAGTCTGTCTGCTGAATGACGATCTTCATCTTGTTGTACTCGTCCGTCATGTTCTCCATCTCCCTCACCGACTCCTCCAGACTTTTCTGCATCTGCTCACTCTGTGTCTTCAGGTGTGCGTTTTCGTCCTCGGCTCGCTAATGGACACCAAATGGACAAAATAAAAGCATCGTTCACCAGCAGTGAAAAATGCAGGTCATAAAAAAAACAGTTGAAGCCTTATAAATAAGGACTTGCCCGTAAAGTATTTCATTGGGGACAAAGCTGAACTTTCCATGTTTTGGCAGAACGGGATTATTCCTCCATTGGCACGGCCCTCACCGATCACATTTTTTTTTATGCCTGAAGGTACCGTTGCTAGCTGTTCTACACGGCGGTCTGTTGACGCATCACACCAGGTGATTTATTAGACACGAGGGCGTCCAAGTACCTGAAGGTCCTCCAGGCACTGGTAGAGCTGTCGGTTGGCCGAGTTGAGCTTCCTCTGGGTCTCTGCGTTCTCGTCACTGGAGGCGAGCGGCTCCTTCTGCTCCAGCTCGCCGCGATAGAAGTCCACATCCTGCCGGAGCTGCGCATTCTGTTGTAGGACCCAGAAGCACAGACCGACTCTTAGAAAAACAACTGGATCCAGTGGCCCGTTGTCCCTCGTTCACCCGAAGGCACCCTTTTGTGCTTGGAATAAAGGCCGTTGGTCAGGTCATACGATTATTGAAATCTAAAATGAATATGCAACAATTTGATGATCTACTAGAAAACACATCAGACTCAAGCCTGAATATTTGGGGTTTTCTTAACCTGTATATTTTTTGGACTTTGTTAATCAAGAAATAGTTTGCTGGATAAATATTTAGTAGTAGTTTCTATTTCTTAGCATGAACATACGTTTGAAATATATTTCAAATATACCCTGGCCCTGTCACACTCTCTTACCTTTTGTATGGCAAAAAAAAAACAATTCAGTAATACATGTGCAATAAGTGACCACTTGTTAAAAGATTGTTAGAAGGTATACAACATATATTGGCTCACATCTACCTTTATAAAACTACAATCTTTGGAACGGATTGTGAATAGCTAAAAGCTACTATTGCTTCACGAGCTACACGTCTTACCTTCTTCCTAAGCTTTTTAATCTATGCCAACCGAATGCAAAGAGATTGAGAGAGAGAGAGAGAGAGGATGAATGGTGGGAAAGCTTTCATGTGAGAAAATGATGGCACAGGACATGCAACTCCACAAGCTTTAACTTGAGTATGGACATATGTTGGATTGAGTGAGAATGAAGTTATGCATCAATCGTTATGATCCTCATGATCAGCACCAGCTGGCACATACCTCTCTTTTCAGCTTCTTGGCTTCATCCTCGGCCTCCTCTACTCGCACAAGCAACTAGAAAAACACAACGGAGACGTAGCAGAGAGGCGGTTTGAATTCAACCCTGCCCGTTGCACAACAGACACCTGGCGGTTCCATGCTCCAATTTGTCCAAAAAGCCCAAATATGACACTATTAATGAAAAATCGACATTTAACTAAATGTAGTTGTTTTTGCTTTAAATTCTTTGTTGCAACAAATGATTGATCACTGGAGTAGATTAATATATAACTATGGACACTATATTGCTCCCCATGAATAACACAGAGGGCCAAAAAGAATCACCATAACTAGCATGTGCATTCCAAAGTCTAATGTGACGCTTTCTCAAGCTCGTTAGTCAGATCATCATTGAACTACTAAGTTAATATAAGAAGGTCATCCGAGGACTGATTACTGAATCCATGGTCCTGTGCAATGCATGGGAATTACGGGTAACGTGCTCATACCTCCTCATTGGTTTTCTTTTCCTTGCCCATTTCTCTCTGTAACTGGGTCAGCGCTGTCTCCCCCTGCTCCAGTTTAGCCTCGAGCTGCCGGATCTCATCTCTCAGAAAATGGGTGTCTCGCCCTTTGCCGGACTGCCGAGTGGTTTGGACCGGAAAGGAAACACACAAACACCCAAAGAAACCCCTTAGTCTCCCCTCACCACCACCATCTGTTCACCACACTAATACATGCAGACGGTGTCGTTACCAAGTCCTTAAACAAGGATTTGTTTCATCTTAGCGCGGTAAACTGCTGGAGTGCCAAGTCTGATCACATATAAACCTAAAGAAAATGAAATAATAAGATAATAATAATAATAATCAAGTTGAACCTAGACGTAGTGGGCTGTTTGCCTGCGAGGAATTAGCAGTAATCTTCTTAGGTTGTGTCACACCAAGCAATCCCTTCCTGGCCAGGGTTACGCTCTGTGATTGGCTGAAAGATTTGTCACATTTGCCGGAAGTAAAACCCGAGATTCTCAGTTAAACACATAATGTTTTTTTATTTGCTTTTTTGGACCGACAAACCTCAAAAGTGCAGTGAGGAATGTGACGTACAGTATGAAAGTATGCAGACATAAACAAAAATAGAGAGTTGCTCAACCGTATTACCTTGAGTTCTTGTTCCAGCCTCGACACCTTGGCGACGAGTTCCTTTTCTACAGTGCAGAACACACGATCAAGCATGTAAACCCTGCTCTTTGATAGCAAAACATATAAAACATTTGGACTGCCAAACTTTATCTTTACACTTACCTATTTTACCATGTTTTTCTCCAGCTTGATCAAGAATTGTGGAGCCAAAAGCAGCTTCTCGGTCTTTGATCTGACGTTTAGTGCAAAAAGTTATTTTAATTGCTATGCATCAAGCAGCACATGGTAGAAATGTAATAAATACATAGTTATTATGCGCACAAAGTAAATTGTCCTTATATTTGAAATAAATGACACGTAGTAGTGGGGTTGTTGTTAAGATTTGCATGGGAGAATTTAACAATAATAATACTGGATACCTTCAACAGTGTCTGGAACAATCGGAGGACTTGAACAATGTTCTCTGGGGCTTTATCCTTCACCTCCCATTCTTCTGTCTTTGTGGTTAGAAGTGAAAAAACAGTCATCACTGCTTTGAGGTCATTACGAAAAACAGGGAAGCCTTGGTGATTTGTCACCTAAACAGAAATGCAATTAATGCTAGAACTATTCATTTGTACGGGCGGTGACATTTACCAAAACAAACATGTCGATGACCTCTTCCAACTGGGTTTTGTCAAAATCGAGGAGGCTCGCCGGGCTAATCCGCGTCACTTGATCCCACTCCAGAGTAGCAGGCATCTTGGCCGGGGCGCGCTTATAAATATTAACGCAGGAATTGAGCAGAAATGTCGCCTGAACTCAGAGGAGGAGTCAGCTAGCTCATTGAAGTTGATGAGTTACGGCCTCGCTTCTCAAAATAAGCCTCATCTTTCTATACTTGCTTGTACACCACATTGCTTCTAAAGGTAAGCTAACCTTAACTAGCGGCAGCTCACGTTAGCTGCATTTATGATAACGCTCAGAGGACATCAGGTTAAGCTAACGACATTCAGAGATCAATAACTCCGCTCGTGTTCGTGAATAAGTTCGCGAGACGCTTGTGGTTTGTGGTAATTGCTTTAACCAAATGTAGGCGAGGTTTACATCGCTCAGTAAGATAACGTTACATTGCAATGTCCCAGGTCGAACACACAGACTAACATTTCAAAGGAGTTGAGACGGCGGTAAGAAGCCATCGTTGGACTCCCGTGACGTGACGCCGTGTCTGCTAGGTTACCGTGACAACACCAGCAGTGACTCGGTCAGCTAGCTAGTCCAGCTAGTCCACAGGCATATAACTTAAAGTAAAACGAGGAGCGTGAACCCTCGCAAGCGTCTTAACCAAACTGTAAACACACAAAGGACACAGCGTTACAAAAAGGTATCGCTAAGTTGCACTTTAAGAACTTTCCTTTGGACGCATAGACCCGAGTCTGTTCCGGCTAACGTCTCATTTGCGCGGTTACCTCTGCCCCGGAAGTGATAGTAATGACACTTCCGGGCTAACGTTTTCGCAAGTGGAATGCCGCTATCTGAATCGATCCCTTCGTAGGTTTGTAACTAATTGTTCACCATTCAAAGATTCTAATGCCATCCCGCAGTCGCCGTTTGCCATTTTATAAACGCGGTAGGTAGGAAATTCAGTAAATACCTTCAAGACATCTGCGCCCACCTTATCCGGCGCAAAGACTTTTGTCAAAGCAAGTTAGCATTAGCTAGTCGCTGTACCGCTAGCTAATATTATGCTGAAAGCCAGTGGTTTGATTGCAAGATTATCAATGGTATTTGGGGCTTTTTGTGCTTTTATGTTGTCGCGGTCGAGTGATAGCAATGTGTATTTCGTCCGAATGTCCAATGCCTGCCCTTAAATAGCTATTTCATTAGGATATAAGTTCATTCACTTGCTAAGCTGTTACTATCCACCCTCCAATGCTTTTGCAGCCAGCTGGTACTGTGAAGTTAACTACCGGCTGCTATGTTTTTTCAGCCTGTGTGCTAAAATCCTCACAGGTAGTTTCACTTGTCGTGTAATTAGTCTGCCAGATGATAGTCCAGAATTCCAGACTAGAATAAAAACATGGCAATCTACTTAACCGGGTGCCAGAAAAAATGGGTGTTGGAAGTGAGGACCACCACAGATTTAAGCCACCGTAACTGTCATTGAGTAATATGACAAGGAAGCTACAAAAGAACAGTAAAAACTAAATGTGGATTACTCGCTGCAACATATTGGTGTGTGAGGTCCTTTGAAAAGCTGCATTGGTATTATGATTGAATAGTGATTGAGTCCAATCAGGAAATCCTGATTGGTGTCTGCTCATTTGAATGTTTGTCATACCTCTTTCCTGCACAGTGATCAATGACGGCTTTGGTCAGCCATGGCTGTCGTGTCATGGAAGGAGATTTTACTTTTGACTGGACTGGTGGTTGGATGTTACTGGAACAGTGTGTCGTGCGGCTTTGTCTTTGATGACGTCTCCGCAATTCTCGACAACAAGGACCTACGGCCCGCAACCCCTCTGCGCAACCTGTTCCTCAATGACTTCTGGGGAACACCCATGGCGGAGGTAATTCACGGCCCACCATGCACCTTCGGTTTATCGGTATTTGCTTACGGTTTGGCCTAGTTTAAGGGGTGGTCAGTAAGCAGTTTTATTTAGGTTACTTTGGTTCAACTTAACATGATTTTAAACGATCTGCCGTTGTTAGCGTGAGAGAAATCATTATGATCACATCACAGTCATATGATTAGCTCGAAAGCCTTTGATGTCTCTCAATCCGTCAACTGATATCTTTGTTTGACTACAGGAGAGGAGCCACAAGTCTTATCGACCGCTGACCGTTCTCACCTTTCGACTGAACTACCTCTTCAGTGAGCTGACCGCAGCTTCCTACCATCTGCTCAACGTGGTGTTGCACGCCGTGGTGTGTGTGCTTTTCCTGCGAGTGTGCCGGTTGTTCCTGGACAAGACTTCCGGCTTGGTGGCGGCGTTGCTGTTTGCTGTGCACCCCATCCACACTGAAGCTGTGAGTATGCATTGACTATGAGTTGAATGATTAAAACCTCTACCAGAGGTCTCCACAATTTCACTTTCCAGCAGAGAAAAGCAAAACTGACTGAGTTCAGTTGAGCCATGCTTGGATTTAGCCTCTATATATTTCAGTTAGCCATTGTTTGCTTCAATTTGTTTGAGCAATGACTGGTGATTTCTTCTATTTTCATTCCACTGTTGTTTTGTTCCACTTTTTTTTATTATAAACTCTTTATACAAAATAACATCTATTTGTGGAGGACTTTCCACAACACAAAAACATGAAAGACAATGTCTTCGACAGCTGTGTAAATACATAAAATCACAAACAACAGTGACAATTGCTGTGCTTTTTTTGTGTGAATATGTAGAGTGGTTTCTTTGCTCATGTATAATCACTTCCTTAGTGGTGTGTAAAGGCATTGGTTATTAGTTCTGGTTTTAAATGATCGCAGTCTATTGGTGTGACTCCTCGATTACCTCCAGTTCAGCGTGGGGTCATCACACACGCTGTTTACTAGGAAAGCGCATCTGATTCCTACAGTTCTAGGCAGGAAATACCGAAGCCCTTCTCATCCAGAATCAGAAGTGAGTTTCTGAATCGAAGCTCCTTTCCCACGTGTCCCAGTGGCACGAGTTCCAAGTACATCGGATGCAGCAAACCTGTGCACCATTACTCCGTTGACTTAACCCTTCGACCTGCGCATACGGCTTAACAAAACATTCTTGGTGTGTTTAAGCCAGGCGACGTTGAAAAACGATCCTTTATTCACAGGCCCGGCCTAAGACTGTGAAACAACAACGCAGATTCCTTCGTTAAGCACAAACCGACCAAAGATAAGTCGGAGCGCAAGAGCGAGCCAACAGAGCAGGTCAGAACTCCGCGCAGCTCCCAGGGGACAGGGAAGGCAAACACGGTGCTGAATACACGGGGAGTGTTTAGGAAATCACTCGTCTGCTGCTGTCAACTCAATAACCCCCCCCCCCCCCCCCCACCTCAGCGTTGCTCCAACATGCCTGTGACGCTGCATCCGCTTCTGAACATTTATTAGCCATCTAGTCACAGCCGCTGTGTTTACGTGGGCTTTTTAACTCCAGTTACTGCAACTGTCATTTAAAGGCCTTCTGTTAACGCAGACTGTTATCGGGACCATCGCGTTTGTTTGTCATTTGAACCGGAGCTCGTTCTCTTCTCAAGGGCCCGCCCGAGAAGCCCTCTTTTCCCCAATTAGGGCCTGTAATTCATCCTATTCAGCACGGCAGAAGTGATGACCAGACAGCCTCTGACCGGAGGAGGAAAAACAAAGACAACATTCTGCTTGTCGGGCCGGAGCGCTTCTGTTACACAGCGCGCACGGCTGCGCCAGTCTTCCTCCCGGTGTTCTCTAATCTACGCCGAGTCTCTCAGACGTCTTGAATGGAAACAATTTGCCTCACAAATGAGCCTTTAGAGTTGTTCCAGCGAATGGCCTTCATGTAATCGTCGTCTGGAATCTCCCTCTGAACGGATCATTTGTTTTTGAGTTGTGCTGCGAGCACTGAAGGTCCCTTCATGATAAGCGTGTACAAAGAGTCCCTGTGTGCCCCAATGTCTCTCTTGGTTGCTTTTTTACGCTCTGTCTTTTTGAATGGAGACTCCAGCTTTCTTTTTCTTTTTCCCCCTAAAGGATTTCCGAGTATCTCCCAATACAACTGGTTTCGTGAGCCCCACAGAATGTCAGCGCTGTAAGATGGCAGTTCTGGGAAAGAGACACACAAGCGGAAAATGAACAAACCAAATCTGTGGTTGTCCTTCTTTGGATTTCCTTGTTCTATCTGAATGTATTTTCCTCTCACCCTCTTCTTGAGATCAGGTTATTGAGATACCGGCCACCTTATCAAAGGAGCCAACGCGATAAACTAAGTGGAGTTGGCTATTTGCGCAGTGTTTCATCTGCAGGCCACACCACTCACAGTGACGTCCTCCGGCTGTTGGTTTTAGATAAATGGGCCACCAGGGGATTAGTTTGTATTTGTTGAGTAGGTCCGTGTAAGCCCAGTTTGAATCCAGATGTGAATAGATGTCGCCTATCTCACTGGCTAGGCGTCTCTCTCCAGGAACCCACGCCTTTGGTCGCGGTGGAATTGAGAATGTTATCCCTTCCACACGAGGGCAGTCATCATTTACACAAATGAAAGGCGTTAATGTCGGAGAGGCGCCTTTAAGGAGATATGCTTGTCCTCCGCTGAGAGGATTTACATGACCGGACCTGTTTTCACAACTGGATCTAAAAGAGATTAGAGCACAAAGTTGTCCTGTTTTTCTTTTCTAGAGGTGTATTGGAGAATTTTTCCGTTGTGGTTGAACCCTGGAGAGAAATACTCCCGTCGTGACACCTGAGTGCTTGTGGCAAAAAAATAATATAATGGGTACTGATGTTGATGAAATGTGGGGTTTCTGAAGCAATTTCCCTAAATGCGTGAGCGCCTTTACGATAAACACGTGGAAGACGTTAGCCTGAGATGAAACCGCCCGCTAAGGAGGATGACAAAAAGCCACGATACCTCTTGTTTACAAGAAAACGTGTGAGCAGTAAAAGCTCCAGTAGATCTATAAAAGAAAGAAAAGCACCACACTGAACGTCTCTCTCTCTCTCTCTCACTATGGAGTCTTTTCAATAATATATCTTTAAATGAAGGAATCTGTGTGCTGGGCAGCGGAAGTGACTCCTGTCCCTGTCCTGTCCTCCTGTCCTCAGGTCACAGGTGTCGTTGGCAGAGCGGAACTTCTCTCCTCAATCTTCCTCTTGGCCGCTTTCCTGTCTTACACCAAGTCAACAGGTGCCGACCGCTCCATCGGTGAGTCTCTACACCAGCGCCCCCCCCCCACCTCCTACGTTAAGACCATCAATTCATTGATGAGCCGTGATAGTCGACAGTCACATGTTTGTGTGAATATGTAGGCTCATGGGGGGTGGGGGGGCACTTTGCAGGATGGGCGGGTAACCATGTTACCCATAACCGTTTCTACCGCATTACGCAACCCATTGTTTGCCACTCGGGTGGCGTTTTATAGGTGTTTGGTAATTTGTCGGATGGTGTCCATGCACTGGAAGCTGTAAAACAGTAAGGGGGTGTCATTAAAAACACCTGTTTGAATTAGTCTTCTGTAATTGCGCCCCAAGAGAAACCTCTGTGCCTTTTAAGTTTGTTTTACTCGTGCAACATGTGGTAACCATCTATAATGAAGGCCTTCCAACCATTAGATGGGTTCACATTATATTGCTTTGGTTCTACGTTAGTCCTTTTTTACGATTTAAGCTAACGAACCAACAAAAAAACATGACGGAAAGCTGTTGGAGTAAGTCCTGTGAGTTTTAACTACAGCACAACCTGTGCTGGATTCGAAAGCCGTACCAACATTGCTCAGGATCCTTTTGATTTGGTTATTGAATAATCTAAGTTAAACAATAAGATGTTGGTTTTGTGTTGATGCCATTTCCTGTTGCGTATCTGCAGATAGATTATTGTCTAAATCTTTGATAACATGACATGTGTGAAATGGGTCCGGATGTCGTTCGTTCCTTGGCGTGGCCTGTTTGTGCAGGTTGCTGGCTGGCAGCCCTTTGAGCCGTGCTCCACTTCGGAGGCCAAATCTTAGCAAGAGCTGAAAGGCAGAACTCGTCATTCCTTAAACTGAGACTTGAAGCTCTTGATCCAGACAGTCAAGTTCTCATGAGGTTACAATGTCAATATGTGAAAGTTTTTCAACAAGATGTCCCCCTCAGTTGGCCACGGTGGATAAATCTCACCGGGGGACAAGGGAAATAGGAAGTAATGAATGTGATGTTTAACTTCACCCACCCTCAGTTTGGTCCCCCATCGCACTGACGGTCGTCCTGGTGGCGGCAGCGACGCTTTGTAAGGAGCAGGGAATCACCGTCATCGGCATCTGTTGTGTCCACGAAGTGTTCGTCGCACAAGGGGTAAGGCTCCGCCTCCGACCCGGCCACACCTGGAACATCAAAGCCTTCGGCACCGATTTAGAGTTTGTGATCACAAGGAACGTTTTAATGCCGGTTAGGTATTAACAAACCCAACGCATTTTCAGGGCGTTTTCTGTCCCCTTATTAATCGCTATCGCAAATAAGTCCCGCCCCTGTTATGGAAACCGAACAATCATGGTTAGAGGAATGCATTTTGTGCAGTTAAACTGTTAAAATGGCATGAATTAAACGGGGGGGGGTTAAAATGAGAATAACTTATTTACTAACATAAAAAATAAGTAATAAATGATCCTAAACTTAATAATTAACATGCGCCACACAGACATTCAACCCAACCCTGCTGGAAACCTGACTGGTCTAAATACTCCGACTACACGCAGGAATCGGAACGCTCGCAGGACTCGCCGTGTATCAATGAGGCCTTCAGTGAGAGCAGTGATGCACAAGTCATTTTGACAGGAGCTTTTTAGCGCAAACTGTTTATTCTGGGGAGAAAGTAGAACAATGTGTCAAATATGACATTCACCAGCTCATAAATTTGAAAATAATTAACAACAAAAAAAACCAACGGAGCGGCATTTTGAAATGGAACTTGACTCTGAAGCTTGTGTGAACGCCGTACGCCACATGTGGAGTTGACCCTTCCCTCCCCGTGTGTTTCTTCCCCTGCTGCTGTTCCCTCAGTTCACCCTGCCCATGCTGCTGGACACGCTGCGGCGCTTCTTGCAGGGGAAAGGCGGCTTCCCGTATGCTGTCCTGCAAACTCTGCTGAAGCTCATCGTCCTGGTCATCAGCACCCTGCTGCTCGTCATCGTCCGGGTGCAGGTCATCCAGTCACAGCTGCCCGTCTTCACCAGGTAAACCGCCGTCGTCTCGCCAGCGGCAGCAAAGCGCCTGCATTTGCATTTCAGTCCGACCACCGTTTTTAAAATCTACTTTTCCCCGTTGTTCATTTAACTTATGAGATAAACCTAAAGCATAACTTTGACACTCAATGCTGCTCAGAGGGAGGTGGGATTGTTATTATGATATTCCAATTTGTTTTTATTGTTTTACATAACTCTTCATGTATGACCAGTTACGAAAAAAAGTGTTGCTCTGCAGCTGCTGTGTTGCATCTGCACAAAAGGAAAAGACATCAGTGGATAATAAAGGGCAGTAGAGTCGTGATCTGAATGTAAATGGCTTTCAGATTACATAAACACATTATACTGCAACCACTTGGTTATTTATTTTCAGATGATGTAATAGTTTACATAATGTCTCATTTGATTAAAGTAGACATTCTTCCCTTGGCCTCTGACATCCTGCTGCCGATGGATGTTATTTACAGGCCTGTAGTTCTTTCTCGTGGCGGAGACGCGTTCTGCAGTCGGGTTCAGAGATCGGCTGCAGGCGCTTTCACACTATTTCCATGGAGGAAAAGCAGCGAGGTTCCCCAGTGAGACTTTTTAGCGCACCACGCAATACTCTGTTATGTTAATATGCTGAATTAAGCACACAGAGCACCATTATTTAATCATATCACATTACGGTGTTTCCATCCACTAGTTGCTGCCTTCAATCTACCATGTCCTCCAAATGCTCCTTTCATTTTCTTATTATTTTAGTTCATGTGCCTCCTATTATTTATTTCTGTCCTGTGCTGCAACAGAATTGTCCCGTTGCGGATCAAAATGCGTCTTGCTCTTAGTGACTGATGTGAGCAAATGTCATTTGAGTCATTGGATTAAGTCTAGACTATTTTGGAACGGTCTGTAAAGGACTCCACTTAGACTCAACCTGATGGCATTTGATCGCAAAGATAAAATTCCAGAGTATTGGCCGAGGTCGGCTAATCCTCCAGCCGTCATCCCAAAGATGTCTCCGGATTGTCTGGGAGAATTTCTGTGTCCCGAGTCATAACAATACGGCGATCTAGATTACCGCCGTCCCAGTTGAGATTATTTGTGGTAGACTGGTTTAGACCACCTGCTTTACCAGAGAGGCTGAGATACCAACACGTGCCGGAGGGGACAGGGGACAATCTGATTCTGATGTTCACGGTCCGGGGACGTCTCCTGGCACTTGTTTTGACAAAACGCGGTCATGGTGACTGCAGGATGGACCGGCTGAATTTTAGAGTGCCTTCTTTCCGACATCAAAGGCTTCCAGTGTCTTCACCAGATGGGTTACATATTTCTATATCCATCATTAAAGCTTCTTTTACTTTAGCGGTGGGATCAAAGGACGGCAGAGCTGGCCGATCGGATCACACGCTGGTGGAGTAAAATAAAAACGGCCAGAAAAGTCACGCAGTCGTTGCTGCGCTGACAATAACATTACGAAATGAGAGCGAGAGATTGTCCTCATTCGTCCCACAGCTGGGAAATATTCAGGATTGGAGCAGCAAAGTGCACATTGACAAACGGCACCAGTCTAAAGTTAGGACACAAGTTTGTCCAAACCTTTGACCGCTAGTGTAGTAAAAAAGTTAGAAATAATGAAGTAAAAAAAAATGATCCACAATGGCTTAAATGACACATTATATATACTGAAATAGAGCTATTGTTGTCCTTATTAAGTGTTTGTTTGGTATTCTTTTAGAAATGCACATTTAAGATATTCTGGAAACTTTTCCTTTTATCAAAATTCTAATTTAAATTTAAAATTCTCAAGTGCACTCGAGGGATTTATTAGACGTGGTCTTGTTAAGATGGGTATAAAGATACAGATTTGATTTACAGTGCGATAAATGATCGTTCCTTCCTTCAGCCATCTCTGCTTTTCCCCCCCGTCATAAACATAATGCCAGTGAACCACATAAAACGTGTTTTTATCCTCCCTGCTGTTCTGCCCAGATAAACCTTTCTTCTCCGTCCTCCTTGTAGATTTGATAACCCTGCAGCTGTCAGTCACACGCCCACCAGACAGCTGACGTTCAACTACCTGCTTCCCGTAAATGCGTGGCTGCTGCTGAACCCCTCTGAGCTCTGCTGCGACTGGACTATGGGCACCATTCCTCTGGTGGAGTCCCTGCTGGACCTGCGTAACCTGGCCACCCTGGTGTTCTACGCCTCCCTGGGCCTGCTGGCTTACCACAGCTTGCGCTACCGACACAGCTCGGCCCGGACCGTCATCATGGTGAGCGATCGTCGCTCCAGGCCGCCGGGCGGGCTCCGTAAGACGATGAGAAGCACACCACGTCATGTGCAGGGAAAAAAAAAGACCCACAATACACGGCTTTGTAAAAGCCCTCAAAATAGGGCATGGCAACTCCTCACTGTGGATTAAACTAACTTCCCATTCATGGGATTGGATAGATGGTATAGTTTCCCCTTCCCCTCTAGTTTCCCCTGATGTAAGCTACACTTACAGATGTTCCTCATGTCCACATTCGCCATTTCACAGAAACATAACTCTTTTTTTGTGGAATTTTTTCGGGCTGAGAGCTTTTTAGTCGATCCCTAAAATTGGCTCTTAAACGTCGTACTCAAGTCTGCGCTTTAGTGTCCTTTGTTGGGGCTCAACTTTGATCTTCACAGTGTGCTTTTTATAGATCATGCGACGGCACATGACATCACTAAATTGCTGACAGACAAAATCCAGATTGCACGCTCGAAAGCATCATTAGTAACAGATACATATGGTGTTTAAAAATAAATAAATAAACAAAAGCAGGATCCGCCTGACATGAAGTCATTTAAAAAATAAAAAGGCTTCTACTTTAGCGAGGACATTGTGTACCTTGTGGCGCACAGAAATGAGTCAGCATCCCATGGCTCTCTTGCTTCAGGGTCAGTGACAGCTGCACTTTACAACCGTGTAACACAAATCAGCTAAAGAATACACATAATTATGACCTCTGCAGTGTTGATTGTGGTTCGCTAGCAGCATTTCAAATCAGGTTGCATAACCGTATTATAACACATCAACCTACCTACTCGTATTGCAAGGCTCCCGGGTGTAGCTTTCTAGAAGTAGTTTTAGATGACAATTCCGATTGAGAAAGCCTGGTCTGAAGATCCTCCTCCTACCTGAGGGGGGGGGGCAACAACCTACGGAGTCAGAACTCTTCCTGGCATCGGCTCATTTGTCACATGCAGAGACGAGTAGATCTCTTGAGTCCTCGGTGAACCTGAGCATATCTGATATACGGAAACGGAAACATCAGTTGGTTTGGCCGTCTGTTTGGAAAGATTATTTTCATTATTGTTTCATGTAATGAACTGATCCCCTAGTCTACACATGTTTAAAATGCTTGTGGTTTTCCACAGCCCAAGGAAACACCAGGCGTTATGAGAAAAATGTGTCATTATGTCTAAAATCATAAAAGTCCCCAAAAACATAATAAAGTCTCATTTGAGATCCGAGGAGCAGAGTACACAAATCTCTCATAGTTTCCAATGAATTATGTCTATCAAGCGTCCCCTTAATTGGCTCATTGTTTGAGCCGCGGTAGAATAATGAAAACCGTCTGCATGTTTAGCACGGCATTGAAACAAGACAGCTGGTCTGGTTTCTCTCGTGCAGGCCCTGTCTCTGATGGTCCTGCCCTTCATCCCTGCGTCCAACCTCTTCTTCCCGGTGGGCTTCGTGGTGGCGGAGAGGGTCCTCTATGTGCCCAGCATGGGCTTCTGTGTCCTCGTCGCACACGGATTCAGGATCGTCTCTCATAAAGGGTGAGCGTTTGTCCCAAACGACACCGATGCCGGAACCGAACGAATACCACCTGTGTGTCGTGCAAAAAGAAACAAAGAAACAAACTGCAGGCTTTTTGAAATGTATCTATTTGATTCATAGATCACAGGGCTGGCTCGTGCTGGATTCATCGGGCTCCATAAAGTGCTTTGATATACTTAATTGCTTGTCTTTGCAGACACTTGAAGAAGATTTCCTGGTTGGTAATTGGTGTGCTTTTGACTACGCACGCAGTGAAGACTTTCCAAAGAAACTGGGACTGGGAGTCAGAATATACTCTGTTCACCTCCGCCCTGAAGGTAAGCTAGGACGACCCCTATTGCATCCTGCCACACACAGTCAGCGAAACGTGGTGGAGCGAAACAGGCTCATTGTCGTGTTTCTTCAACCGTCCGCCAATTCAGGTCAACAAGAACAACGCCAAGTTGTGGAATAACGTCGGTCATGCTCTGGAGAACCAGAACAACTATGCCAAGGCGCTGCAGTATTTCCTCCAGGCCACCCGTGTCCAGCCCGGTAAGAAGCTGCCCGTTTGTCAATTGGTGACATTTTTGGCATCGCAAATGCACCGAATCTGCTGGGACTCGTCAATGTGACATGTCCCATCGCGTCTTGTGTGCTGATAACGTTCTTTTGTGTCTGTGTTACACAAGCATATTTTTAGTTAATCAAATGTGATGGCAGTTCTTTGTAAGAGAAATGCAGACCAGGTGATCATACAATTCCCCCCCCCTCCCCCCCGAGTGGTCATCGATACCGTTTAAGAGAGAAAAACCTGACAATCCGTCGCTCTCGGTGGCTCGTGACTACGCGTAGCCTCCAGACCTTGACTGAACTACTTCATTTGAGTTGAATGGTCAGTGACAGGGGGTCAGTTTGTTTTGCTTCTCAGCTTTGTTGTCGGGAAGCCGGTGGTCAGCTGAGACATGGACTCATTCTGCTGCTTCACCATCCAAGAGTGTTTCCCCGAGATAAACAACCTGCTGAGGATTTCCTGCGATGCAAATGCCGCCCCCTCAATTCCGCTGGCCCCTCTCAGCGCCTCACTTTTCCTGCTGCTTTCCAGAAGGATTTACTTAGTTATTTTTAAATACATCATCAAAGTTTGGTTTCTAATAATGTAAACAGAACGTCGGTTTAGCTTATTTATGTCAAAGCAAAGCAAGGGGGGAGAAAGACACCGGGCTGGGTGAGGAATAAATGCATTTAACAAGATCACACAGTCACGATCCAATACGATCCGTTTCCACAGATGACATTGGAGCCCACATGAATGTTGGGAGAACCTACAAGAACTTGAACAGGTCCAAAGAGGCAGAAGATGCCTACCTGGTTGCCAAGTCGCTGATGCCACAGGTATGTCATCGATCATGGAGCAACGAGGCCACACCCCCTCATCCTCTCCGTTCATGGATCCTTCTGCCTTCCCATGACCTTTTAAGGCCTTCAAGCAAAACACACATCCAGTGTCAAACTATGTGGGGCAGCCACGATTGATTACCTTGAAGGGATGATTGTATTGTTTGCTGCATGTGAGAAACCCCACAGTATGCTGGTGGGTAGCCAGCAGCCCATTTTTGATCTACATTTAGGTTCTGTAACCTCTGTTGCATTGTCTTGCATTTAACCACCATTAAATGGGCCTCTGCTGATCGCTCACCAGGTGATTCCCGGGAAGAAGTATGCGACGCGCGTGGCCCCGAACCATCTCAACGTTTACATAAACCTGGCCAATCTGATCCGGGCCAACGAGTCGAGGCTGGAGGAGGCCGACCAGCTCTACCGACAAGCGATCAGCATGAGGCCGGACTTCAAACAGGCCTACATCAGCAGGCAAGGCTTTGGGGGACTTATCAACCTCAATCCTTCGTTTATCTAAATCACTGTAAACTAGGCTTTCACAGAACTTGTGATCCTCGAAGTTGCGCATGAGCAGGTTTACAGTTCTACTTGGAATTCTTTTGAAAGGGACAGTCATTGTTGCCTTATCCTTCATCTGTCACTCTCAGACTTGCCCTTTCTTGTTCGTTTGATTGGGCCTCTCCCACTGTACTAACAGCATGTACAAGTTCATTGATACCTACTCGGGAAGGCTTTGTACTTATTCGTCACAACTTAAAGTCAGTTACAGCTCAAACACGTTTAAAAAATCTCAGTCTTTCTTTGGAATAATGTCTAAATTATTGGTCTTTGCTGTATTCGTGGATAGGGAAAGACAAAAAGGAGCAATTTTATACTAATAGTGATTTATTATGTAGACTTTAAACCATGACTAGTTAGCACTTATTGGCATTTTTGTGGTTTGGCTTTCTTGAAGACTTATTGTGAATTTCTAAATGATGGATGTCATATAAATGTGGTAATACTCTATATATAATTATAATGGGCCAAGTATTTATGTCACATGTGATAATTGCCGCTCTTGAATTTGATTTGCGTCAGAGGGGAGCTGCTCCTGAAGATGAACAAGCTCACGGAAGCCCGCGACGCCTACCTGCGGGCGCTGGAGCTGGACCGCACCAACGCCGACCTGTGGTACAACCTGGCCATCGTCAACATCGAGATGAAGGACCCCCCCGAGGCCCTGAGGAACTTCAACCGCGCCCTGGAGCTCAACCCGCGCCACAAGCTGGCGCTCTTCAACTCGGCGCTTCTCATGCAGGAGTCTGGTGAGCGATGTCGGCCCCCGGGTTTGGTTTTTCAAAAGGCCCTTTGAGTCTTTAGGGTGTACGGGCAATGGCCAAACTTTGCGTCAGGTCAAAGGTCGAGTGACATCCAAAACAATATTAATAATAATACGCATAATACGGCAGGTTGGACTGGCGGCTGCAGTTCGCGTCTCCTCGCCGCGTACATGCACATGCTTATTACGAGCACATTCCTGCAGCAGGTTGATGGAGTGTGAAAAATCCACTGTGTGTATATAATTATGAAGAGTACTTTGTCAATCACCAACATCAAGGATTACAATCGGCTTACTCTTACGCAGGTTGGCTCGTACTAAATCCCAGCGGACGGAGTCATTAAGCCAGCGATAGTTCATGTTGACACGGCGTGTTTTCCTTTTGCCGTGCGCTCTCCTCGGGGTTACCGTGACCGCTCGACCTTTTGATACCTTGTCAACGCGGGCGGGAGGGTTTTCACCGCAACTGTCATCAATCAAGGGTTTCTAACAATGCGGTTGTAGCAAAAAAAAGTGAGATTTACTCAGTGATTTAAAAAGATTAGTTACGCAACGTGCCCCATGTAAGCCCGTATGCGTCTCTTCCGTTGTGCACATTTCATAGCACTTAAAAGGATTTGTCACATTCTCTGAAATATTCTCATGATTTGCAGTTCTTTTTTTTTTTTTTTTTTGATCCTGAGATGAATATTTCTTAGTGGGTGGGGGGGCACGTAACATAAACATCTCAAGAGATACGATTGTTTTATGCTGTTCCAGAGTTATCTGGTGGTTCTATTTGTGTAGTCCTTTGTTAACGCCTCACTTTCTCTCAGAAGAGTTTAACAGAAGGGTCACATGACCATTAAATGCAGCCAGTGAAAAACTGACGGCATGTCCAAAGATCCCCAAAAAATACTTTAGAAAGTAACTTGAATGAATACAGGGGTTAAGTACATACCGCATATTACATTGTTTTCATTCCTCACATTCCTGCAGCCGCCGCCCTGTGTGGTCGCTTTAAATACCTCAAATCCAATATTTGAGGTGCAATAGAGTCTGACCCTAAATCCAGTCTTTCCTCTCCGCGGCAGGCGACCCAAAGTTCTGGCCCGAGGCCAACCGCCGCTTCTTGATCTACGTGGAGGAGCAGCCCGACGACGCCAACGGCTACTTCAACCTGGGCATGCTGGCCATGGACGCCAGCGAGAACGCGGCGGCCGAGCGCTGGATGCGGCGGGCCATCGCCCTGCAGGCGGGCTTCCGCAGCGCCCTGTTCAACCTGGCGCTGCTCTACTCGCAGTCCAAGCGCGAGACGGACGCGCTGCCCGCGCTGGACGAGCTGCTGCGGCACCACCCGGAGCACGTCAAGGGCCTGATCCTGAAGGGGGACATCCTCATGAACCACAAGAAGGACACGGGCGGCGCCAAGGCCTGCTTTGAGCGCATCGTGCGCATGGACCCCACCAACGTGCAGGGCAAGCACAACCTGTGCGTGGTGTACTTCGAGGAGCGCGACCTGCCGCGCGCCGCTACCTGCCTGGAGGAGACGCTGGCGATGGCGCCGAACGAGGAGTACGTGCGTCGCCACCTGAGCATCGTGCGCAGCAAAATGGCCGCCATGAGCGCGGCAGGCGAACCGCTCACAGCGGCAGGCGGCGGCGGAGCAGCAGCAGCAGCCGCCGCCGAGGACGAAGCGCCGCAGAGGGTGGCAGAGGAGGAGGGGGCGGCGGGGGTCGGGGAGGAAGGGAGCGGCGCCGACCCCGTTGGGAAGTGGCCCGGGGGTGAGAAGAATGTGCGGACATCCTCGGCGGAAAGCCTCGGCGGCGCGGACCAATCGCAGCCTGGGGACAGTGGGCGGTCCGACCAGCAGACTCGGGGGAAGACCACGGAGGAGGTGAACGGCATAGAGGAGAAAAGGGCCGCTGCCCTCAGGAGACTGGAGGAGATTGAGCGCATATTAAGTGGAGATTAACGTTGCTGTGATCAATACTTTTATAGAGCTCTTTACTGCTCGGGGAGAAGAAAATGTGCAAATCAAAAACGTTTCGGACATTTTATTGTTTTGATTTATTGGCTGCAGGGCATAACCTCGTAAATTCGACACTAATCATGTAAACAAAGGGACATTTTGATCCGCGCATGAAAACCCATGTAACAATAAGCACAAAGCCAAGTCGGTGATTATCTATTTAAAGCGTTCGGCCGCCGTGCTCCATCCGAACGGGTCCCCCCCACCCCCCCACTAGATCTCCAGTAGTTATATTTGTTTTTCTTTATGTAGTCCTTGTTTATCACTGGATTTTGTTCTTTTCTTTTTTCACTCACTCACTTTTGTGTTATTTAAAAAAACAAAACAAAAAGAAAAAAACACCGATTTGAATCGGGGGGACAATTACAGGAAATGACATGTTCCACACAGTGATTTCTGCACAGTGCGAGCCTTAAAATTAGCCTCCACACTGCATCACCGCCGGGCTCGTGTTCCGTTGCATTTTCTAATCTTTATTGATCTCATTCGGGCATTTCCCGCCGACACATCACCAGCCTCCAATAGACTATTACACCCTCCCCCCCTGAATCTCCAGGGTGGGGTCCCTTCGCTTCCGACACATTGAATCAGTAATTTGTTTTTTCCCTGCTTGTGTTGCTAAAATAAATACTCCACACCCTCCGACCGGCGCTCCGCCCATTTAATGTGACGTCAATCATCTCCCGCGTCCTGCTTCATCATGTGTTTTCCTTCAACTTTATATAGGGGGGGGGGGGGGGACCTTTCACGGCACATTTGCAGAAAACGGATGTCCCCATTCATCCAGCTGCACGGCGGCGATGTCGCTTAAGCTCACACGCACGAGAACTAAAAGCACCGCAACGTTTTTGCTTTTTTTTGGCTTGACTTTCTGCCGCGTTTACTCTTCTACATTGAAAAGTCTCCCGTTCTTCTTCCACCCGGAGAGGCACATAGCTGACCAACAACCACCCCGCCCCCCTCCCACTCTTCTCACTGCACAAATCATCTCCAGCACACAAGCCCCGGTGGTCGCGAGTCCGACTCGCAGCCAGAATGTTTAATCAATCACGCTGGCTGCGGAGCTCCTCCGGGGACGGCGTTTGCTGGGACGTTCCCGCTCCGTTGCCTCGCTGTGCAATAAAACCTCTCAGCCATAGTTGAGCGGCGTAGACCTGCTATGCATCCGGATGGTCTGTGTACATATATATTTACAGCGTGCTCGTGTCCAGTGTTATTTATTATCTTCACATGCCGTAGATCGCTGTTTGCATTCACAGTGCGTTGTTTTGTTATCCATCATGTGTCACTTGTAATCACCAACAGAGCCTCGTCAGTGTTCAACATGTATGACATTCGAGGAACTAAAAAGCGTGTCCATCCACGAGGAAACATCCTGTTTTTATCTCATTTTGCTGAGTGGCTGATTTTTGTACAATCTTGAGTTTTCTTTTTCTTTTTTTCTTTTTTGCTATAGCCCTTGGTGGTGGGGGTTTAGGTTAATAAAGTGAGATGACGACGCATTGCCTCTCGTTCTACTGTGTCCGTCTGCTGCAGGATTCCGCGATACGTCAGAGACGCGCCGGTCAGGCTTCCCTCCCGCTGTGCGAAGCAACATCTGGCCTCAGTTAAAATCTGCTTTCCTAACAAACTGTACCAAGTTACAAACAACAACATGCAATGCCATGCAACGAGGCTCAGCAGCGGTACCTCTAAGCTAGCTGGGAGCCAAATGGAGACGGCTGTGTCACTCTGAACTCAAACACTGGAGTGGGACAACTCCAGCTAATCCCAGCCCGAAGCGACGGGCATTAGTCCGATTCATGACGGCCCTTTAATGCGCGACGAACGCATCCGTCATCAAGACAAACAACCAAAACAGCTCCAATTGTGGTAATTTGTCAAAAACGTTCATATTGTGGCTTTAACCACATACTGTGAAAAGCATTACAGGCCGCGCTGCTCAGCCACAACTAGGGGGCCGGCATCGAAGTGCGTGCTGCTGAACACCACACCAGGAGACGGGGGAGGGAGGGAGGGGGGGGGCATAAAGAAAACATTCTTAGTCTCCCTGGGGGGGAAGACTAACCCAGAGGCTTTGGTTATCGGAAACTGCCCCATGCTGTGAGTATCTTCTCTCCCCCCCCCATTTGTGAAAAACAAATAGGGTAACATCAGCGCATCTTGGGGGAGCAGGGCTCAGTGTCTACTGGAGATTTAAAATGATTTAATGTTTACTTCAACAAACTCACATTACTGCTGAAAGTCTGTTTACAACTGTATCTCATCATATTACATTGTGTTTTTGTATCCCGTCCTAATCATCTCCATAACTTTGGTTACCGAAAGGCTCAGTTACATTTATGATTTTGACATTCCAAATTTATCGAAACACTTAAATAGTTCAAGACGTCCCTTTCATGTAAACTAATACTGCTCATGGCTCGCTTCCTGCAGAGCACATTTGGGAGTTCTGAATCCTGCGGCTCCTGGAGAGCGCTGAAGCCGATGCCTGGAGATATTTGGAGATGTCTGCTCTCCGCTCTGAGCTTAGTTTTGTGGCAGCCGTTCATCTGGCTGCGCAGAGCCGACGAGGAGAAGCTGCTCTCCGCCCTCAAGCTGCCAGGCCAAAAGAGACATAAGACGAAATGCGCGTCGCCAGGAGTCGACTCTGCAGCGTGCCGTTGGGCATTGACCTGCAGCTGAAACGGCCCCCGCTCTTCCACGAGGCCTTGGACCCCGGCTGTAGAGATCCGCTCCCCTTCGGCCGCTGATGTTTGGGGATGAAGCGGCTTTCCGCTCGGTCTCAGAAGGCCGTTGGACGGCGCTGAGGTCACAGCGCGGTGCAGGCAATGCCGACTCTGTCTGCACGCTGTAGGGGATTATTTGTTTAAGGAGCAGGCTTTGTGCTCCAGGGCGTTGTCCCGTCGAGGAAATGGCCTTCTGCAAACTTTGCACCCAGTTCGGAAGCACACAATTAACCTGCGAGTGTGTCCTCGGCTAACGCGCAAGGAAAGTCATGATCCCGCTCTGTGAAGCCCTTTAAGCTTCATCAGCCCCTCCCACATGTGGCGCGTAGGCCAGACAGATGTGAAGAAAGTGGCCTTTCTGGGATGCTTTTACTTTGAAGGACTTAAATATCTCTTTAGACAGCAGCCAAAAAATCCACCATAGGGCAAGAGGGGCCGATATGACCTCCGATGCAACTCCACACAAGGTAACATGGTGAGGAAACAGTAATTCTTGGCGAGTAATTCTTGGCTCCAAATGAAGGAAATACACTGTGTTTAGGGAGAAGCCTGCCTCTTAATTTAAGTGTAATGTGACTCCTAAGAGCTAGTGGTTGCAGCCGTGTGCTTTTGAGTTATTGGTGAACTGCATTGATGTGAAACGTGCAATAAAGAATATCTGAAAGGAAAAAACATCTTAAATAATAAAGACGGCGAACATGTTACCAAAGCCAAAAATCGGAATTACAGGCCTACACATACCTTCACACTCTTACAAAGAGTGATTTACCTCCTCAGCCTCATGGGGGGGGGGGGGGGGGTCACTTGAGTGTCAGTGAGGTCTTTTAAGTCCCTCCGCACGCATGACCTCTGACCCTGGGCCCTCTGAAGTTTGAGTTTGCCACCTGGGTGCTCGGCTCCGTCCAGTCTGAGGTGGCAAAGCTCACACGGCGCCGTGGAGACCCGCGAGGCCGCAGGACGCGGAGAGCTGAAGCATCAATGGGGGATTTAATCATTCATTTAGTACCTCTCTATTTGGGGTTTTTCAATATGTATTCATTTAAATGTGTTAAAAACACGGTTTTGGCGAGGTTTTACTTTTTCTTAATAGACAACAAACTGCAGCTTTGTTTAGCAAGAAAAGACCTCAAAGAAGGGGAGGAACGGATTGTTTTTGGAATTTACAGTTTGGTTTGACAGAAACAATTCAAAGACATGAGCTGAACTCTGGGAACTGAAACATACGTGTTCTGGATCGGTTGCCTGAGGACACTTGAACAGGACACATCCAACCTCAGTGCACATGGTCAAATAAACTACTTGTATCCATGGCAGCACGTTACTGGCTAATGACAAATGACCTTGAATGAACAGTAACAACAAAAACACTTGTGTCTCTACTTCATATAAAATATACACAAGTAGATTATTTCTAATAGTTAATTCCGACATTTCAGAAACACACACAGCTCATTGAAACTGGCAACACAAACTCCAGCCTCCAAAACTGTAAAACAGTTCAAACAAACACATAGTGCAAGTACTATGTGTACAAGTACAGGTATCCATAGCAACATGTTTCTGCTCCATGAGGAAATAATCACAAATGAATCCAACAGCACAAACAATTTTAGCAACAAATGAAATGAAGAGATCATCATCACATCAAAAAGTTGAATATTTATTTAAAACAAAACACACAAGCAGAAATAATAAGAACCACATGAACAGACAATCAAAATGAGCTATTGATTGTTGCAACCATTTTCCTCACATGTACTTTTCACTTTTATTGTGAGAGTCCAGACAAGCGTAAGGGCCTTGTGGTCACTATTGGACGATGTTTTTGACTTTCGGGGCCTTCCACAGTCTTCCGCGGTCTGGTTCAGTCTAGCAGTTTGATTAGTTGGTCCTTGGTGGGTTCAGCGGGTGTTCTGTGATCTTCTTCCAATAGTGTCAACCCGACACTGAGCTGCTGAAGCTGCACACCTGTTAACAATCCAGCTTTCCCCATCCTGCACTAGACGGCGAGAAGAAGAATCTGTTCCCACTAGAATGCGATCACGTGGAGAATCCTTACTCAACCGTCGCTCAGCGGGATCTCCGCCTCTTCCTCTCGTTTTAAACCGGCATTCCGTGTCAACCATCGAACCGCGTTTTGGTCACCATGTGCAAAAAGTTACTTTTGTTTGCAAACCCTTCATGCGTAATAAAACCCATTTGTTTTAGAGGACAATTTAAAACACTAAAGCACAAAAGACAATTTGCATCAACAGTCATCTACGACCCGTCATACTTGCTGTCAAGCTGTCAATATTTCCCCAGAGGGAAGACAGTAAATAATAGCAGTAATAACTGTTAAGGAGAAATGTGAAACCCTCAGAAAACCAACTCAACCGCTCCGACGTGTTGAGTCGCATTATAACATTTAGTCAGCTCCTGACAGCAAACTCCTTTTCAACTTTCACAGTTTTCACAGTAAGAACAAACAAAGTAGAACAAAGTTTGTTGCTGACATATTTGAGCCTGTTTAGTTGCTGGAAACATCGAGGAACCTGTTTCCCTCACACACCGTTCATGGGGAGTAGAGATATAAAGTTGGCTTATTTGTTCTTCTTGGGGGATTAACTAAAAAAGACAAAATGAATTCGAGCTTTAATGCATGATTACTTTTGACATTTCTGGGTGTGATGGAAGACTTTAGGTGATGACATCGACCCGACCTGCCAGCCTTTCATTTAGCTCCAACAAGCTCCTTCCTCAGAGGAAGTGCCGGCGCTGTTACGGCAGGTTTCATTTAGCGGGCGGAGGAGCAGGAAGAGACTTACTGCCATGAGCCCTCCGGCATTGGAAGGAACGCAGGGGAAGTTCATGTTACCTCTGAAAAACGAACCCGTGTCCCATAATGTGACGCAGATCCACAACAAAATGTACTGACATTCAATAAAAAATCTGCCAAAATAACATTCGGCTCTCAAGAAAAACTCCGAAGCCGCGCTGTCAAGAAGACCTTGACAAACAGCCACATTTAATTCAAGAGAAGTCACCGCATAGTTTTGTTTTCCCACACTGAGAATATCGCAGCGATCTTTGGTCTCGGTGTCGTATTTTGAACGTTATCGTTGGAAGCGTTCCTTCAGGACCGGTCGGTTCACAGTTTGGTATGAAGATGATCCTGTTTACATGGGACGTTGTTTCTGGGAGCCACATTGGTCCCAAATGGACATCTGCATTTTTTGCTTTAACCACTGAAACCTAAATGATCCTCCACTGTTAGATATCGGAAGAATCACCATGAACCGGGCTGAGTGTGGAAAATGTGTTTCATTTGTGTTTGTTGGGTGGAACTGAAACTTTAAACTGTAACCTCAACTAGCTCAGTGCCGTAAAGGGCTCAACATTGAGTCATCAGCCCAATTAACAACGACTCGAGGAACAACGTCTCGACGAGCACCGTCCTGTGGAGCAACGTCTCGTAAATCAACGTCTCATGAGGCAGCGTTGCGTATTTCAGCCAGAACACTTTCCACGCAAAACTACTAACGTTACTACATAATTAAATAACACAACCAAATCTACAAAAAGTTACGTGATTAAAAACAAGGTTTGTGCGCAAGATTCATAGTGTTAACATAACATAATTATGTAAATTTACCAAAACACTTTTTCCGGAGAACAGTACGGAAAACTCTGCTGCTTTGTGTTCAGAGAGTTGCGCACCTGGCGCTCGCGGCCGATAGCTAACGAGCTAGCTAATTGCAAGCCCCTCTCTCAAGAGCTACATCAAGAAGA